CCCGATTAATTCGCAGCCAAACCGCCCACGCCTTCCCGCCACTTCCTCCGCTTCCGTCTGGCCAACATCTGTCCGATTCTTTCTATCCTATTCGCCGTTCAGATATACATCCGTCCCGTCCACGATTCTCCACGCACGTCTATTTCTGTTCCTCGACGTCGCACCAACCCCTATAAAAAAAAAAAAATAATAATAAAAAATAAAATCTATCTATTAAACGTGGACAGACAAATCAGAGAAAATAAAGGTTGTCGCAAGTGTTGTCGAGAAGTTGAGAAATTTGTATTTTTATTTGTATTAGCGAGTAATTTTCCGTCACGCGTATACGTTTCGATTATTCTCGTTTCAGTGTTTGTTTATGTGTTAAAAAAAAAAAAAAATCGATATCGTATTAATTTAATCCGAGTTATTCGTGTCTGTTATTTTCTTGTATGATTTTTAACTTGGGATCTATTTCTTTTTTCTTCCTCTTCTCTTTTTCGCTTCTTTAATTTCGGCAAGTCTTTTTTTCTTTTTTTTTTTTTTTTTTAGGTATTTTTAAGCAGGATAAAACGAGGATGCAGTGTAAAAGAGAAACTCGACAGCTTGGCTCGATTATCGAGATTTTTTTTTACAACAACAGTGTTATTAGCTTGGAAATTTTGTGTACACGCGAATTAAAAGTTTCTTTCTTTTAATAGGTTCTAAATTTTTTTTTTTAAATTTTAATCAAGATAAATTAAAGGTATACGTTCTGTCGTTAGATAAAAGCCATCTAAATAACGAGACGCTCGTGAAAAATTCAACATCCGCGAGTTTTATTCAAGCGCGTGCCACGTGTAAAAGGGCGGAACACACCGTCGTTTGAAAATTTTTCTCGAGTAAGCCGGAAACGGGCAACCTCTTTCCTTTCCTCCGGAAAAGGGGTTCGAGGAACGAGGGTTACGAGAATAGAAGCTAGATCGTTTCGACGGCCTCGCTAAACGCTTTTGGATATATTGATATAAAATGATTTTCTCCGTGAGAAGTCTAAAAATATTAAATCAAATCGTGGATTCGATAATTTTTTTTCCGTTTTTTTTTTTTTTTACTAATAAACGGTAAAACAATGGTGGAAATAAATTTGAGAGTTAAAAATATCGGTGTATATTGATCAGAGAGGAAGTCTCAAATTTATTTGCACTCCCTATAAACAAATGAAATTTGTTACGAGTTAAATTGCGTAATTTAAATAATCCAAGCTTTTAACAAATAACAAATTTCATTCTTTGAAATCTCTGTTTTAAAATTTAATTTTAATCCTCGTCAACAAGATCAAATTTACATTTACTCGAGAATGAATTCTCGTGCGAATATTCAGCTCTATTCTCTTCATACGTGTGATCACTAGTTATCGCACATTGTGCAATTTTAACGCAGAAACATTAAACATCTTTTTTTCATCATCTGGCCGTTAATTTTAAAATGTTCTCAAAAAAAAAAAAAAAACGAAAACAAATTTTGTAATTTCAATTCGATGATATTTATTCTAGAAATATTAATTTGAACCTAAATATTCTAATATTTATTCTAAAATTTTCCCAATAATATTGAATAATGTTGATCAGTGTTGATACGATTTTTCTCAACGCCGCGTTTAAAATAAACAGATAACATTCTGTCAAGTTGATTACAAGTAGATTGGATCATTTTTATCGCTCGATATAATTATCGTGACTCTCTGTGACGAAATTCGACATCGAAAGTTTGCTTTCGTAACGATTCAGTTTACCCGGTTTATTCTTGGAAGAATAACGCCTCGTACTATCGTGTCTACGGGTCAGAATGTGAGTATTTTTTTTCCATTCAAAATCTTTTTTTTCTATTTTTTTTTTTTTTTTTTTTTTTTTTTCAATACTAACATTCTTTCACCTCTGTTATCGTATCGAGCGATAAAAGCGATTAAATAATTTAAAAAAAAAACGAATAAGAGAAGCAAATATAAATTTTCCAAGGAAATAAGTTGTATTTGTACGTGTATTTATAATTTCGCACGATCTTCCAGCATTGTTTGCAATGTTATCATAGCTATTATAGAATCAAGAACAACAGGTGGAATGTGAATGGTATTCCATATCATCACCAAGCATCCCTTCCCGTCATCCTAAGCATCCCTTGTTATTAAAAAGTGAAGATAAAAAGACGAACAAGAATAAAAAATAAATAAATAAATAAAATAAAATTCTATCGTGAAGAATATTTTCAATCACGGATTTAATGTAAAGAGATATCATTTAAAATATTTAAAAGATATTTTAATGATAAAGAGTAATAAAATTCAATAAAAAAAAAAAAAAAAAAAAAAAAAAAAAGATTGAACGTTGAAGTGGCTTGAATAAATGATTTTCAAATCGATGAAATTGTATGGAAAGAAACGTAAAATGTAAAATTCATCTAGTGTCTTTTTACTTACGCAGAATCACAACTTTCTTATCTTCATTGTTCCACAGTCTTATTTCTCGCGATCCCCGATCAATATACAAATGGAATTTAATTAATCTAAATTGTATGAGTAACATAGTTATAACGGTTGCTTACCTAACACATTGTGATAAACTTGGCCTGATCTTTTTATATCGGCCATATAATCTATAATTAGATAATAAATTGACGCAAGAATAGCGATTTATTGAAATGTTTACTGAAATAAGTATAGGATAAAAAAAAATGTAAAATCGACAACATTCCTCGTTATGCTTTGTTAGCTTAATGATCGAGGTAAGAGTTTAAAAATAACTCTTACAAGATACTTTCATCAATTCTTTCTCGTATCGATAATTTTACTACACTGATAAAAATCTAAAATAAAGGCATTGGACACACTCGATATCTTTAAAAAAAAAAAAAAAAAAAACGATCAAAAAGTAAATCTCAAATTATACAAATATAAGCCTCGATTAAAAAAAAAAATCATATTCAAATTACAATAATTCGTAAAAATATTCGAACACTATCATATAAAAGAGACGATACATTCACAATATTTTTGATCCAAATTTAAGAATAATCAACCATCATCATTGTCCAAACGATTCCCAATGAAGATATTTTTTGACGAGGAACAGCATATAAAAATTTACTCACAGAATACACGATAAATTCTATCCAAATTCTTAACACGTGATCTACGTACATCTCCGTGGAGGAATAACGATAGATCCATATACGAGTTTCGAATAATCAAAAATGCATCGTTCAAACAAAATGGAGATTTTCGCATTTTCCAATATCTTTTCCATATTTTTCTTTCTTTTCGTTCGAAGAGAATTCATTCGTTCAAAGACGATATGTTTTATGAAATGTTTGGATTGATATTCTCGATCCAAATTTTTCGAAACGATCGCGAAATCGAGGGCGCGAAATACCGCTCGCGTGCAAAATACGATATATTTCTAATGGGGTGGTGGATATTTTTTCGTGATGGACGAACGAGCAAGCGAACGCGTATGCGGAAAATTCATTCATAGCCGGTAGAATGGCTCGGGATGAACGAGCGTCCTTCGATTCACGAGAAATTTCGGGTCAACGGGACGGAGCTGGGATAGCTGGCTGCACCGGGAACCGGAAATGAGGTCGAGAATGACGTCATCGCGTTCAGTGCCGTTCATTCAACCCCCGGGGACAAACTGGGTCACCGGGCCAACTCTCACCCCATTCCCAACCATTCGAATCGTGGAAATGATACTCGGCTCGAGGAAACTCACGCACATGCAACTCTCTTCTAACCTCTTCCTCTTCCTCCACATTCACCCAGATTCGAGAAGATCTCCGCGAGATTCTCTTCTTTTTTTTTTTTTTTTCCTCTCCTCCTCCTCTTAGGAAAATGCTTTCTTCAAAAAGCAGAAAGATTCGTCATATAAATCGTTCGGCTCGATTGGTTTGAAAATTGGTTTCGAAGGATCGAGTATTATATTTTCTAAATTTTCGTGAAAGTGTCGAGATGAAATATTAACGATCAATTTTTTTCCCTTTTTGTGTCTCGAATGAAAGTTTATATATAAGGTAAGAGGGAAATTTTTAAATTATTTAGAGTTATTTAGAATTTAATAATTCTTGTTTGTTAAGAAAAATTTTAGAAAGGGATGTATGAAATATATACTGAGGATTCTTATGAAGAATCATTGTTTAAATAGAATTCGCTATTTTTTCTCGAAATTTATTATTTCTTCCATTATCCATATCCTTCTTTCTTTCTCTTTTCTGCAATTTATCTCACTTTTATTCTTCATAAAGAAATCCACGTATTCGTCTAAAATTTATTACCCTAAGTGCAAAGTTATTATGTAAAATATTGCTTCTTTCCTCTGCAAAATGGAAAATTATTTCCATAAGAAACGCAATCGGTATAAATAAATAAGAAACGTAAAAACAGATCTCTAATCGAGGAAAGGAAAGGCAATTTTTCCATCCACAGTTTCAAACGCGATCGCGCAACCTTAATAAATATCTCTTTATTACGCTCTTCCAAGTTTCCAAACCAAGTTTCCTTATTATAAAACAATTATATTCTCACATAGCGAAACACTGTCCAATTATTTTATTAACGAACTGTAATTATCTACACTTTATCATGCTTAATCGTCTTCTCGAAAGTCAGTTCTTCGACCCGTGGAACGAATTATCTCTCCAGAAAAATCTCTCATCTCTTAATCAATTCTCCTCCTTGGAAAAACAATTTCAAATCAAACCTTCTATCATCAATCTTATTATTTTCAATTTTCACAATTTATCAAAAACATTCCTTTTCGTGTGGAAACGTGCATAATCGAGTTAATCATCCGTTCCAAAATCTTTCAAACATTTCTTTTTCTTATCTTATGTCGTTCTTGTGTTGCAGTGCGCCTTCCACGCGACCGAAGCCGTTGCGCGCCACAGCGTATTTGGCGATTAAGCGTCGGCACACGGCACCAATATATAAACATAAACACGCGGCGAAACATATATAAATGTTGGACAGAGATGCCGAGTTAGTTATCATCCGTGCATAATACTAGCGGGAAGATGGAATTCCTCAGCTTCGACGTGAAGAATCACACTCTTGAGTTGCGGAAGGCGGATGTGCCGAATCCAGGGCCGAACGATGTTCGAATCAGAGTTGCTTATTCGGGCATCTGCGGGACCGACCTTCATATATTGGAAGTACGTCGTCGTTCTGCTTTCTTTATCCGTTAATCGCGTTCCGACGAGAAGCTTTCGTTCGACGGCTTTCAATTGTTGATTGGATATTTGGAATAACGTGAAATTTCCTCTAAGCAGAACAATCCAAGATAACGTATATGAGAAAATTCCCTTTTTCTTTAATTAATGCGTTGATGTGGAGATCTCTGCATTTCATTTTGAGCAGTATGTCTTTTGTTATGAGTAATGAGCATGATGGTACAAAGTAAGAAACGAAGTTTGAATATGAATTTTTTTTTAAAAAAATATAGTATAGAGAATATTCTTAGAATAGGAATTCCTTTTTCTTTAATTAATGCGTTGATGTGGAGATCTTTGGAATTTGCATTCCATTTTGAGCAGTATATCTTTTATTATGAGTAATGGTACAAAGTAAGAAACAAAGTTTGAATGTGAATGTCTTTAAAATAATATAATGTAGAATATAATGTAGAAAATCTTCTTAGAATAGGAAAAATACCAGACATTCGTATGTCTATTTGTGATATTAGATGATTAAGAAAGATAAGGAGAATATAAATTGTCTTAAATTGGCGCCATCCAGGAAATTGTTACATAAAAACAAGAAGGAATTTCTTACATTGGAAAGAAAAATATTGTCGAGGGACAATTAAAACTAACTATTGTTATTCACTAACAATAAAGAATTTGATTTAGTTTCTTTTTTTTTTTTTTTTTTTTGATTCAAACTTTAGATTGAAATTTCATTTATATCTGATAAGGACGAAGCATATATGTATTTTTTGTTTTTTTATTTTATACAAAATAATCTCGTCCTACTAACGTTTAAATATTTCACAGCAAACACAATCTACTTGTTTGAAATTTTATACGATGATATGTGTATTCCTTTCCTTCCTTTTGAAATACGATCGCAATTTTTTGTTTATTTTTCCTGTAATTGCATGTAAAAACGAAATGCAATATCGTATGTGGAAAAAGATGAATAATTAAATATCTTTTTTCGCGTGAGCATTACGTTTTTTTCTTTTTCTTTTTCCTCCTCCTTCTCCTCCTCCTTTTATTGTTCTGACCTCACGAGACTTTACTACGCCGTTGCGATCGTACTACTAAAAAAATTGCATAATTCCTTGTAACACATACACAACAAGTATTTCCAGAGATAGACATTATGACCGCGTTAGCTTTTTGATAAATATTCACGAAACACGATATCAACCGTATATACAGTGCGCTTTATCGTTCCTGTGCATGTAACCACATTATACCGATTGGAATATTACCATGGGTATGACAATAATTCCCGCTTTTTTTTCCCTTTCCAAACGATGCGAAATAAATCTCGTGATACCGGGCCGAGACACGACAATGGAACGTTTCGTGATAAGGAAAAGTTCAATATAAAAATAAAAAGTAGATGGAATAAGTTGATAGTTGTATCGGAATATGATATCAGTCGTGAAAATTCTAGACGTTTAAAAAAAGAGATGAACGAAGAAAATTAATTAATTTCGATATTCTTACATTCATATATATTCCATTTCTCTAAAATTTAAAATCATTCATATTCTGTATAATAATTTTTTACAAACTACAACTAATGAAAAAAATTCTATTTCATAGGGATCGTTTCCATGCAAGAAAGATGGCTTTCTCACTCTTGGCCACGAATTTGCAGGCACGGTGGACGCGATTGGTTCCTCAGTGAAGAACTTCAAAGTCGGGCAAAGAGTGGCTGTTGATCCTAACAGTGGATGTAATACGTGCAACTACTGTCACGATGGTTCTTATCAGCACTGTAGCGCCGGTGGCATAAACAGCACAATAGGGATTTATAAAGACGGTGGATTCTCCACTCACGCTATCGTACCCGAAAGTCAGGTTCGTTCCTATTAATTTCACGATCGAACGAGCTAAGTAAGTTTTGTTAACTTTTTTTTCTCTCTTTTTTAATTTATTCAGGTGTATTTAATACCAGATGACGTCGAATTACATCAAGCCGTCCTCGTTGAGCCTTTGTCGTGTTTAGCTCATGGATGGAAGAAACTTAATAGCGTCAACGTTGGTAGCAACGTGCTCGTAATTGGCGCCGGAATCATTGGTCTTTTGTGGGCTTGCATGTTACATTTGCATGGGCTTAGAAAATCCGTGACGATCAGCGAGCCCCAGGAAAAACGGCGGAAACTGGTGACGAAACTTGGTAGGGATGAATCTCGTCAAATATTCTTATTTTTAATTTGCAAACGAATTGCGTTGAATTGAAAAAAATAAAGAAAGATAAAAAGTTTTTATTCTGAATTGTTCAGTAAGACTAAGAATATGTTTTAAACGTCGTATGTTTTAAATTAAATAATGAAAAGGATATCCGAGCGAGTGTATGAATTATATAATTGACGTGCAATTCTCTTGATAATTAGCATTATTTTCTATAATGATGCTTTTTTTTAATTAAATAATTAATCGAATTACAAAAGTTATCATTGATGAAAGAAAATTGCGATGACTATATTTTCTAGATCTGGATTTCGAGGCAAAGACTCCAGAACAATTAAAGAATTCGTATGACGTGGTCGTGGATTGTAGTGGTTCCGCACCCGCTATAGAAGCAAGTATTCCTTTATTAGCACCAGGTGGTCGTTTATGTATATTCGGAGTTGCCAATCCCAAAGCTAAATTCAGCATCGAACCATTCCAGGTAAATTAATCATAATTGTGTGTCATTCCATTCCCACGCATCTGAGTCATCATTTTTTTATTCGTTTTTTAATCGTTTCTTATTAAAGTAATCAATGGATAATCGGATATAAATTAATTATTAATTTAACTTTTATTCTCCAACAGGTATATTTAAAGGAATTGACGATATTAGGTGTAAACATAAATCCTTTCTCATTCCCCAGAGGATTGGGTTTATTACGTGCAATGGCTGATAGATATCTGAATTATGATAAGTTAGGTATTAAAGTATTCTCGTTGTCGCAATATCGTGAAGCTTTGGAAGCTCTGAAACGAGGCGAAATCAGTAAAGCAGTCTTCAAATTGTAAAAAGGAAAATTAAATATGAAATTAAATAATAAAATAAACATTTTTTAACAATAATTAAACATGTTTCATTATTTTGTTCTTAACATATGAAACAATAAGGTAATAATGTAAGAAAAAAATTTTTTACGCAATTTTCGTTTATTAAAATTCAATATTAGCCTAGAAGTAAATATAAAATTGCAAACTCGTAAAAAGGTCATAAAAAATCTTACTTATTCGAGATTCTACGTTTCTCAGCACTTATTATATGTGAAAGCTAGGAGAAAAAACAGGAAACATTCATTTGTATTAATATTATGGTATACATAGTGCAATTAGAATTACAAAATTACTTATTTTCTTAACGCATAATTAGAAATAAAAAAACTTCCTATTATATTCAAATATTTGTATAATTAAATTTATTCAATATTGTTTCTTTATTAATGAAAGAAAATATTAAAAATTAATTTTTTTAATGAAGTTATTTTATAACATTTCTTGTTATTTCTCATTACCTTTCATATTACGTCCCGGACGTATAAAGTAATTTGCCGCGATATCGATATAAGTCTTTCCAGCCTACAGGTCATTACAAATATTTTTTTAAGTTTAAGTTCCAAAAACGATCCCTGTTATGAGTATGCGGTCTTTTTATGCATTTGTTAATATAATAAAAAATATTCATGATCATAATTGTTATAAATAATTTCATCTACAATATACAATCTTTGATCTAATTCTAGAACAAATTTTACATGCTTTATCACGATCAAGATACAGTAACATGTATATTAATTTTTCTTTCTTTTTGCCAAACATTATATAACAAGGCAACTATAGAATATTGTTATTTCGAATTCCTCTAAACAGGACATTAACAAATATTTAACACATCCAAGATCAAGGAGATCTATACCATTTAGTTAAAAATTTTTCTAATTATCACTTAAAGTTATTGAATTGGAAAAATCAATTACAAAATAAAATAAAATATAAATAAACAGATAAATATGTATTAAATGTAATTAAAAAAAACAAAAATGAAAAAAAAAGTGTATATGACTTAGATCGAGAGATAGACATATAAAGAATTATATAAAAATTTGCAATGATTGTGAAAATAGTAGAGTTTTATATATAACTCTTTCTACTAAATTCAAGAAATATAAATCTTATTTATTTATCTTACTTTGAAATATGTTTTATCTTAATATCATAATATTTAATTTTTTTTTTCCTTATTATAAATAGAAAAAAATTATTCATTAGAAGTTTTATCAAAATATATTAATCTCGAATGTGTTAAATTGAACGTATTTTTGAATTCCTACTATAAACTATGTTAAAGGCTGATATATTTATAACATTATTATCAATCACTTCTTTGTGTTTATCAGTTGTACTGACATATGAAAAAGGACTAATATATCTATAAATTTTAAACTATTAATAATATCATTACTTTTTTTTTTTACTATGTATCACTATATATTTTTCTGGAATGTTAGTTTGTACCTTGCCAACATTTATTATATTGTTGGCCCCTAAAACTTGTATTATATTCGCTAATAATGATTCAATTTCATTTGTAAATAACTACAAAAATAATCATCTAATAAAAGTTAAAAACAAATTAGGCTCCTAAAGATATTATAATATTTCTAATGTGTATTAAGAATAGTGAACCATAGTACTATCAGCAACCATTTTGATAAGTTGCATTGATTTGCTGCTGCCCATTGAAGTCCAGGATAATTAATATTTGGCGTGGAAATTTCTGCAAATTTATATTCATAAATAATATAAAATAAATTTATATTATATTATATTATATTATATCATATTATACTGGAACAGCAAAAATTTCTATACAAAGCAGAACAAAAAACAACATACCTTAGAATAATTGTAATAAATAAAACTAACACTACCAAAGATCCTGAAGAAACTTGTGTTACTCCAGTCCCATAATAAAGAGCTTGGCCACATGCTGGTGGACACACAGGGACAGTAGTTTCTGCGCAAAAAAAAAAAAAGAAAAATCTAGAACATGCTAACTACTAAACTCAATAAATAAATGCACTGAAAATCAAACTATTAATTATTATGCAAAATAAATAAATAAAACTTATATTAATAAATAGGGATAGGTATTATTATTACATTAACATGCACAATCTATAACATATATATACATATTTATGGATTCTACAATTTCATAGCTATAATTAGAATTAGGAAAATAAAATTAATACTTTATTAAGATAAAATAAATAATTATAAATATATATGTATGTATATATAAACAGAGAGAAAAAGAAAATATATGTGTGCGTGTTAAAATACATACCAAATAATTCAACTTTCGTTTCTGCAGTTCCTAATTTATTAGCAGCTCTGCATACATATTCTCCATACTGTCTCTTTTCAATTGTGATCACTCTAATCGTTGTATCTGTATATTGATCTGCAGTTGCAAAATGTGATATGCTATAATGTTGATTATTTGATAGTTGAATATCATCCTTCAACCAAACAATAGCTGGTGGAGGATAAGCTTCTACATGACATTCTAAATCCATGTCATATTGTAGAGCTTGACCAAGTCTTGGTCTAGGTGCAGTGATCACAGGTGCAAATTCAACTTCTACATTAATATTTCGTCTAGCTCCACGTCCTACTCCATTTTCAGCTACACAATAATATGTTCCACGATCTTCTTTACGAATTGTAGAAATTTTCAATGTATTGCCACTATAATATTTTGGTTTATTTAAAAGAAATTCATACAAAGATAAAAGAAACAAACAAAAAATAATTATCTACCGGTAAATTGATCCTCCAGTTGGTAAAATTGCATTATTTTCTCTTCGCCATGAAATTCTAGGTGTGGGAAAACCACCAGCATAACAGTCAAGTTGCACTGGTTGTCCCTCAGTAACAACTAGAGATCTAGTTGAATTATCACTTATAATAGGTGGTCTACGAACTTGCAATTCCACATTTGCAGATACATAATTATTCAAAGATATTAAAATTTTGCATTGATAAAATCCAGCATCAGTCTCTTGTATATCTTTTATCTGAAATATGCATTATGTTATTACTTAATTACAATTTATAATTAGCTATAATTAAAAATATTATATGTATTAAATTTAATATTAAATTACTTGTAATATAAAGGTAGATAGAGCATCATCATATCTAAGAGCAAATCTAGTATCTCTTATAATTAAAGAACTACCATGTGAAAGAGGTAATTGATCATTAGCTATATTTTTATTAATTTTTGTCCATACAACTGGAAATTCAGGGGCATATTGAACTGAACAACGAAATTCAACGGAATCGCCAATATCTTTAATTTGTTCTTGTGAAATATATGATATTGTTGGTGTACGTTGACTATTAACTGAAAAATATAGTAATATTTCTATTTAAAAACATTATTCTAATTATAATAAGCAATATTGTATATTTTATATAATATTATTATATTATACTAATTCCAAAAAAAAAAATATAAACAAATGTAACAGATAATATATAACTAATTGCATAAATATTATATTATGTTGGTTATGTATAAAAAAATATTCTGTAAACATTAGATTTCACATAAAGATTATTGATATTTCATTCGATTAAATAGTTTATATTAAACAAATTTAGGAATATAATATTTATTTTATATTCAAAATAATATATGCAAATAAATATCTTTTACCTGTATATAAAAGGGCTAATACGAAAAAAGTATGAAGAGTCTTCATTGTGACACACCCCTGATGCTATGATGTTCTTATAATTCGAATAATCTTTTAGATTATTCTTTAAGTTTCTGATTATTAATTAATTTTTTTGTCAATATTATATCCACGTCTTAAGTTACATTAACAATGTTGACAACATTATATATCGTTCTTATTATTATTAGACGCTACTAAATAATAATCAAAAAGAAAAGGTACTCACAGGACAGGTGTCTTTTGATCGAAAATAAATATGGCGAATGACGCTACATTTCTAATCAAATGAAATACTGCAAATCAAAATATAAAATGTGTGATATAAATAAAAATATTAATTTTTCTATTTTTTAAATAATTGTTTCAATATTTTATTTTGTTTCTTTATGTATAATTTTTTATCTTTGAATTAATAATTTTAATAAGGTTAATAAATATGCAATTGATTTACTATGTTCATTCAAAAATTTCCAACGTAGTTATAGGAAATATACAAGAAATATAAAATAACAAATTCAATAATAATAAATTTCAATAAATTGCATTTATTATTCTTATAAAAAAATAAAACTATATAATTTCACTAAAAAAAATTGTTAAATAAAAATTGTAAAAGAAAGATTTTATTCTCATTTACATTAAAAATAATAATATAATAAAAAATATTTCTAATCATGATTATTGATCGCCTGAAAGAATAAATTTTGACAATAATTAATAATTAAATATTTATATGTTCTCTAAATATACTTCTTTTCATTATTTTTATTATGAAATTGTAAAGGTGAATAGGTATGTCATACAAATTACATAACAATTACAGTAAAATGTCAAAGTAATGTACAGTTAACAATGTACAGATATTTCCTATTGATTACTTTTTACTAAGGTTTTAGTTAGATACAAAGGCTACATTATTTGAGATCTATTTTTATATTATTTCAGAAAAAAAATATAGATATAATTATATAACTTCAAAATATTCAATATATTAGGATAATGATATTTTGATAATAAAGAAATTCAATTAATCCGAAAAAAAATATATCTTTTAATTATTAGTGTAACATTTTATAAATTTTTTATTTTATAATTATTTTTACATGAAAACTAATATAATATAAAGATAATAAATATTAAAAAATAAAAAACTTCTTAATTATTAGAAAAAAGCTAATAATTAAGCATAATAATAAGAAAAAGCATTATTAGCAAAGTTCGTTATTCTTAAGTGTCGATGTTGCGTGTGAACTTACGCTTATCCTTCTGTTGGTATTTCAAGTTCATAAAAGAACCACTTTGTAATACGTAACATATGTTGTGCTTATTCGGTAACCATAGAGATTCGAAAACCTCATTGTCCCGTGTATTTCTCTATTGCATACCTATACAAGGGTTAAAATCCTTGATGATCTTTTACGTGTGACATGCTAGTGTCATTACGTTCATACTAATACTACGCAAACTAGTGTATATGTCATGCAATGTATAGAACGTAAGTTGAATATTATGTGTTAATATGTGTGTGTGAACATTTATATTTCTACTTACATAATATAAATAGTATATCATATAAACGGAAAGATATTCAATCTAAAATGATTTAAAAAATTATATCTTTTAAAAGTTTAGGTATCAAGAAATATAATATATCAATGTGATTATAAATCTATGAGAAACACTCATTGTCATTCGTTATATTTGTAAATAAAATACTAAATTATACGATAAATATATATGTATATAGTTTGAACGTAAAAGAATATTGAAATACGAATCATGTTTGCGATATATGTTCTATTCATGCAAAGGCATGTATATAGTTAGTATTCGTAAATAACATACGCATGATCATGTGTGCAACATATAAGTATCATCCTACCACGAGGAGGTCAGTATGTGTCACAGTATTGCAGTGGAAGTTACCGGCATCATCTGACTAATCAAACATCGTTTGAAAATTAAGAATATCTTACAGAATTTTGAAAAAAGTGACAAAAATACAAAAATTGTTTTGTTAAGAATTAAGAATCAAAAAAAACACAATTAATTACAATTATTATTTAGTGATTGTGGGCAATATTAATAGTTTTTAACATTTCTAGCTATGAAGAAATAGTTTGTATACATAAAAGTGATTCATTTTTAATAAAATTACAAAACAATAATTAAACAATAATCGAAAGAAAAAAGCCAAAGATTAAAAAATATGATATGTGATCATACATGTTAATTAATTTAGAAATATTTAGAGATTTATATTTTGTCGATTTTCATACTGTGAATTGACATCAATTTTTTTTCTTAATTATTGTCAGTTATTTGTTAAGAATTATTGTTTTCCAATAATGAGATATATATTATGCAAATAAGATATCAACAATTAAAATTATAAATTATTAATGATTGAAATTATTAATCAAGACGAATTATAAAAGACAATGAAATTATATAAATAATTAGCAATTAAATTGACAATGAAATAGAAATTAAATAAAGAAGAAATATGTAATAAAATGTTCTGATTAAAAACATACGACAAAGTATCTACATAGGTACAAAATACATGCATTTTGAAATATCAATTATAGAGGTCGTGATTATCTAAAGATATCATGTCGTACAACGAATTTATGGATCTACCTTGAAGATCAAATATGAAAAACTGGAATATTTATATTTTTTCTGATGGACCAAACACATTCAAATCTTTTCGGATTGGAAAAAGTGATAATCATAAAATAGCAGGCTACTATTTCATAATTGAAAAAGAGAGGCTAAATGACAGCCTCAAACTATGATCGATTTCCATTTATTCGACGACTGATCAGATGTGATTATCATGAGTTGTACATGTAAATGTCGATCGAATCGGAATCTAACTTTTCATCGATTTATCGTTTTCTATCGATACATTATCGATCGATTAGCAAGTGAAATAAAATTATAAGTTAAAAAAACATTTATTGATGAATATAGTTGCATTTAATTTCATAATAGTTAATCTTTCTAAGAAAAATCGTTATTAAGAAAGAATTTCCGGTTCTGATATTGTAATATTACATATAACAATTCAATAAGTTTCTTGTTTATTTTTCAATCTCTGTAATTTGCATAATTGCCATGAAAATATGAAAACATTTATAAAATTATTATCATTCAATACTAATAATATGATTGTATAAAAAGTTGTGGTATTTTGATATTTTCATTATTAACGTATTGCAAATTAATATCATTAAAATGAAAAAATTGAACTTGCTCTTAGTTAAAAAAGAGAGCATTCTATCATTTGGATGTACAGAATGACAAGATTGTCGCGAAATATGCATTTTTTTTAAATATCATCGGTGACAGAGAATTTTTTGGCATTATTTATTAAATTTAATTGAACGCAATGGATAATAGTGAGCTTCAAGTCGAAGATGAAACACAGGTATTATATTTCTATATTCTTTTTTTTTATTTTTTATTTATTTTTTTCTTTTTATTTTCTCGTTAATAAATTTTATGATCTATTTTACGATCTACATATAAAAGATCTATATGAATTTTTAATGATACTATTATGAATAAAAACAATGAATATTTTAAAAATTGCATCGTCATTTTATCTTGATCTAATCAATGAATCTTTCGAATAAAATGCACGTAAATAATCGATTATTAAACTAGTCACGCATTATTTATTCTATAATATGCTATGCAATACAAATGAAAGATATTTACGTGATAAATGTTTCTATAAATAAATATTTCATATCATTAAATTATTAGTAGTACATAATAATAATAAGTTAGGTAATACGAACAACATATTAATGTATATAACTAATTGAAGATTTTACTAACAAAATAACTATCGAAAAATAATAAAACATTATTCTATATAATTCTAATTTTTTTATTGAAAAACAAATAAATAATTTAATAATTTAATAAATATATATTGGATAAAATATAATTAATAAAAATTATTTGTTTAGAATAATCACAGTAGACGACAAAGTTTGTCTACTAGCAATACAATTATTACCGAATCAAGCTCAAATGAATCTCAAACAAATGTGAATACAACGGGAACGAGGAATTCGCCATCGAAAGCATCATCAACTAGTTCTTCACCCCAAAAAACAACTTCAGTAATATCAAATTCTCCTACTATGAACAAAAGCGTAAAAATTGGAAATAACAAAGAAATAATATACGAAATGAATAAAAATGGTATTCAATCAAATGAATCGCCAAAAATTAACAAGAAATTATCTAGAACCAATATTTATCCATCGGGAACAAATTTGACTGCTCGGGACGCTTTTGGTAGGATTCAAATAAATTTTTTGATTCTTTTTTTTTTTTTTATTTTATTTCTTTTTTCTTTAACTTTTTTTATTTAAATTATTTGAGATGTAAAAGTTTTTTAATTTTTTTCTATTTATATTTAAAAAATATATAAAGAACATTCGAATTAATTAAGAAGAACTTGAAAAGAATTCGATATATATAATCGGAATAAGTATTTGCAATTACATGTTGGCCTTATAGTTGAAATAGGCCTAAGTCAATAAACTACGATCAATATATATATGAATGTCAGTGTGTCACGAATAATAGATATGAATAATATATCCGTAACTTCATCGCAACCGTAAAGACTTTATGACTATCGGACCATCGTCAAACCAACACGTGTCTCTTATTATTATCTTTCTTTTTGATTTTATATAACTTGAAACTTTTAATGATGATTACTATATCCTTTATATTACTTTAAAATTTATATGACATACGCGATATTGAGCATACATTTATTACATGATCTGGATCTTCAAGGTAAAAGGATGTTGATTAGTTTTATTTAACTAATTTAAGTAAGGTATAATAACAGATTAAAATTTCATGCAACAGATGCTGACAATTTCATTTATACATTGAAAAGCAATTATATTTTTTTAGAAAAATAATATTTTTATATAAAGTCTGTTTATTTTATATATGGCAATTATTTAAAGAATAATTATTTTACAAATAGTTACATAATTACAGATAGTTACATATTAATATATTGAATTTTAAAGTTTTAAATTAGTTTGAAAATGTTTTTATCCTTAATAGGTCCTAAACTTACAGTACCAACGACACCAGAAGATACACCACCATTACCAGGAACACCAATATTTTCTAATGATGTACCAAGAGATTCTTTGTTACAAAAGGATTCATCTTCAGAAACGGAAATAGATCCTGAAACACTTTATTTCCGGTCTGTAATGACATTAGTTCGTAATCAATTAATTTTTTTTAACTAACTGGTTTTCTTTGACTTATTCTGATTAATTTGATTTTATTTTTTTTTCTTATAAAAAAGTAAATTCAAAATTAAATTAATTAATTTTATTCATAATTAGAATTTTAATTCTAATATATATTATTAAATTATATTATTATAATATATAATATTTTATTGTTGTGTTATATTTTAATATTTTAATTAGTAGTTTAAAAAAAATAACAGTATGTAAAACAGGCAAAAATAATATATCTAGTTATATTAGAATATTCTTATCAAGGATATTATAATTAGAAAATAATATATGTATATGTGATATTACAAAAGCCACGATGTATAAAAAAAGTTTATATAATTAATTTTCTTATTGCGTGACCAGCGAATTAGATTATTGCGATTTTATGTCTTAATATGTTTATCTGATTTCTTTCGTTCGTGTCTAATTTAATTTTAGATTTAACGATATTATCTATTTTCTTTATTATTAGATTATTTTAAAAGAATCCTAATATATATTTAATAATCTCATTTCTTTTTCAAAGAAATTATTTGTTCGTTGATAATTTTAAAATAAAATTAAACAACATTTAAGTAATTATAATTTAAATTATAGAAATTATAGAAATAATATTTGAAAGTCTTTAACAATTTTTAAAAAATCTTAAATTAGCATAAATGATCTTAAAATCATCTTAAATCGAAAAAATAAAAGAAATAAAATAATCTTCATACAATTTTAAAAACGTCTTCAATTTTAAAAACTTAAAACGACTTGAGAATGAAATGACTGAAGTAATTTTATGATAAATAAATATGAAATAAATTTATAGAATTAACTTTAAAATTATTTTAAATAATCTTGAAATAATTTACTTTAGGATATTAGTTTATAAATAATGCAGTTTTTAATAATCTTTTAGGAAAATTTAATATGAAATATTTCTTGATTAATAACAATTAACAATAAATTTTAATTATTATAATTTATTAGATACGATAATAATACATTATATATATATACACATATTACTTGCAGAGATGGTCGTAGACGCATTGATATGGTTTTAGTATATCACGAAGAAAATAATGGAGTAATGACTGAATTAGAAGCGCGTCGAAAGGAACAAAGACGTGTTTTTCAACAGAATTTATTAAAAGAAGGTTTGCAATTAGAATTAGAACCAAAAGAAAATTCTTTTGACGGAAAAACTTATTTCTTAAAGTTGCACATTCCATGGAAAATTAAGGTTCAATATGCTGAAGTAATGAATTTGAAATTACCCACTAAAAGATTTATCACTATATCTGTTAAAGCTTGGGTAAGTTTATGAAATTTTTCAAAATTTAATTACTTATATTTATATCAATGTAGTTTTCTAATTTAAAATGTCCTTTAAAGGAAATTCTTATCTTTTAATGAATAATTTTAATATTTATTTATATTATTTTATTATTAGCAAAGCAATGAGGATGTAAAAGAAAGTCCGAAATTTTGGGAAAGATGGATACAATGGATAAAAGAGATACATACTTGGGATACAAAAAAGTATCCGGAAGAGCCTAGCTTTTATGATAGCATTGATTCTGGCGATCGAGAAGAAAGGTAAAAATGTAAAGTAAATTAAATATTTATTTACTTATATATACTATATTTTTATAGATTTGTAGTAAAAGATAGAGATACAGCTTATACTCCTGCTCAAAGATCTTTAATAGTAATGCAAATTTTATTGAGAGCACGATATGATGAAAATCACGAAAAGGCAGGTATCCGAAGACTTTTAGCAGATGGCACTTATCTTGATTGTTATTCTCTGCATGAGGGTCCATATAATAAACCTGGATTAAATGGTGAAAATTTAGATAGATACTTATTATATTTAATATGGGCTAGACCTTCGCAATGGTAATTTTATTATCATTTATTTTTTTAGTTTAATTATATTATGAATAATATTACGAATATAAGTGATTGTATTTTATTAAATAATTTTTATATATCTATTTTCTATCTTTATTATTTCTTTTAGGTACAAAAGACAACCTCTATGGTTAATCAGACGATATTTTGGAGAAAAAGTAGCTCTTTATTTTGCATGGCTAGGATTTTACACAAAATGTTTATACGCACCAGCGATTGTTGGCCTTTTGTGTTTTATGTATGGCGTAGGAAGTATGGATGGACCTGACAATGTACCGAGTAGAGAAATATGTGATTATAATATAGCAGGTATTTTTATTTTATACAATCTTAATCTTATTTCATAATTTCTCATTTTACTAACAAAAATCATTTCTCTTAGGAAATATTACATTATGTCCTGTCTGCGATAAAGCATGTACCTATCAAAGACTCGGCGAATCCTGCTTATTTTCAAAATTAACTTATTTATTCGATAATCCTGCTACTGTCTTCTTTGCTATTTTTATGTCATTTTGGGGTATGCTATATAATTTATTTTTTTTTTGGGGTATAATATATAATTTAATGTCATAAAGAATATTTTTTATTTTTTTTCAATGTTTTAGCCACGACATTTCTTGAATTATGGAAACGAAGACAAGCTGTGATAATTTGGGAATGGGATCTTCAAAACGTTGAAAGTGAAGAAGAACCTCGACCTGAGTTTGAAACTACGGTAAAAACATTTCGAATAAATCCTGTGACCAGAGAAAGAGAACCTTACTTACCAGTATGGTCTAAAGCTTTACGTTCTTGTGCCACGGGTTCTATAGTATTTTTTATGGTAATTATATATCTCGTGACATTTATTGCAATAAATTTTATTATAATAAATTTTAAATAATAAATTTTAGATATGCGTTGTTTTGGGTGCTGTACTGGGAACTATTATTTCTCGAATATCGTTAGTATCCGTATTTTATGAAGGTGGAGGTCCATTTTTACAGAAACACGCAAAGATTTTCACCTCTATGACTGCTGCCCTTATTAATTTAGTGATTATTATGATCCTTACACGAGTGTATCATCGTTTAGCACGATGGATGGTGAACATGGAAAATCCTAGAACACAGACTGAATACGAATCTAGTTTTACATTCAAGATATTTTTGTTCGAATTTGTCAATTTCTATTCATCCCTTATTTATATAGCCTTCTTTAAAGGAAGGTTTTATGTTCATCCTGGAGATGCTGATGCAAGAGCTACAGAATTTTCTCGTATAAAAACAGATGTGTGTGATCCAGCTGGATGTTTGTCGGAACTTTGTATACAACTTGCTATTATAATGGTAGGCAAGCAATGTTTCAATAATTTTGTAGAAATATTATCACCAAAAATGTGGAATTGGTGGCGTAAAAGAAATCATATTGCTGCTACGAAAGATCATGGCAGACCATACACTTACTGGGAGAAAGATTATCAATTGCAAGACCCTGGAAGACTCGCGCTCTTTGATGAATATTTGGAAATGATTTTACAATATGGATTTGTGACTTTGTTCGTCGCTGCATTCCCGTTAGCGCCATTGTTTGCGTTATTAAACAATATAGCTGAAATACGACTAGACGCATATAAAATGGTAAAAGAAGCGAGAAGACCATTAGCAGAAAGAGTACAAGATATAGGAGCTTGGTATGGTATATTACGTGGAGTAACTTACGTTGCTGTAGTATCGAATGCATTCGTTATTGCATACACGTCAGATTTCATCCCTCGTAGCGTATATGCTATCGTTTACTCACCCACAGAAGATTTAGTGGGTTACATTGATAGTTCTTTATCAGAATTTAATACATCAGATTATCGAGATGATATGAAAAGCGATATGGATACTCGTCATCCGGAAACATGTCAATATAGAGGCTACAGAAATGGACCGGACCATGCTAACGATCCATATGGACTAAGCCCACAATATTGGCATGTTTTCGCAGCTCGTTTAGCCTTCGTTGTTGTTTTTGAACACATTGTTTTCGCTTTAACTGGCATAATGAGTTATGTGATACCAGCCGTGCCTCGTTCTTTGGCAACCCAACTTCAACGAGAACGTTTACTTGCTCAAGAAGCTAAGTATGAAAAAGGTATAAAAAGTAGAGAAGATGATGATGATATTTTATCGATGCTTAGAGAAGCAGGTAGCATTGGAAGAGCTGCAGGTGGTGGTAGAGGTAGTTGGGCAAGACGCTTTAGTAAATTAAGCGATGGCTTAGATGCCCATGTTGATGTAGCTTCCAGACATAATAGAAACAGTGACGGTTCGACTGTATGGGAGGTAACATGATTTTAAAATAGATTCATAGATATATATAGATTGTATTACTTTCTTAGAGATACTTAAAAAATATTTTTTAAATACCTCGCTTATTTGTACAAAAACTATTTACTTATATAGTTATGTAAATAATATTTCTGATAGCAAAATCCTATATAAATATTGGAATAACAAGTACAAATAAATAGAATACTAATTGTGATATTTTAAAAAATTGCATAAAATATGCGAATAAGAAACAAAAAACAATCAAATTAACATGTGATGTTGTAATAAATGCCAAATGTATATCAATACTTTTCAAAGATATACCGAAAATTATTTTAAAAATTTTTAACATTTGATCATATGATTAAATATATGTGTGACTTATATAATACTTTCAGTATTAATATATACGTAATTAAAAAAATCCTCTTTTATAATACATTGAATATGGTACTCTATTTTCTATAATTATACTTCTTTAAATAATTTTTAAATCATAATATTACATAATAGAAATACGAAAATACCGGTTAATAAAAAATATAAATAATAGTCGAATTGTGTTTCTATTGCTTGTTATCATTCATCATCAGTTGTTAAATATTTAATAATGTAAAGGACAAAGGATTTTCTCAAAATTTACACAATATACTCTTTATTGTACATAATTTCAATATTTCATTCTCCATTTTATGCTTGACATTATTACAATAATTACTATAGAATATATTTATAATAATATACATGTACATATTTACTTTTTTTTTTGCTATTGATTCACGATTTATATGTATAATTTTATATGCATATTGGCATATAATTCATTCCATACTGCACTTTCTTGCGTCTTCTGCTTCCTTTTTAAAATCTAAAAGTGTATCACAGTTGTGTTGAGGGATAGATAGGGATCTTTTTTTTACTTTTTTCTTGTTTTAAAGAAAAGGAGACCATTCGGATGACTGAAATCGATATATAGTCCATTCAGTCAGATCTCCGGATCTGATGGACACATGAATTTAAAATTTTTTAACTATTCTAATTAATAAATTCTAAATAAATAGTAAACGAATGCGATGAAATGTATCCTACATTCCTCAATCTGTTTATAATGTTATAATATGCAATATTTATCCTATTTATACAATCATTTACATTTTTTTTTAAAAATATATCGTTATAAGCGTTTAAGTGACAAATCATAAAAATATAATTTATCATTTCATGTGCAATTTTAAAAATGAGAAACAATCTTCATGTTTTCTTATTTGCTTTTTTTTATTCTAAATTTTCTACGAATAAAATCATTTGTAGCGATCCATCTTATAATAATATATATTCTTGTAATATTATTGCTTTGTTTATGCTAAATTTACATTTTTTTGGGCATTTCGTAGAAAAAAGTGTATATATATATATATATATATATATATACACACATATACGTGTATACGCATGCATACGTGTGATAAAGTTATTAGATAAAATGTTTTTTATAAATAAATGTTTTCGCCTCTATATTATTGCAGAAATAATTTTGGTTTTTTTTGCTTATTTTTATCAGTATGTGTATTAGAACTAACATGCATTATATTGCGATACATGATTCAGATATGCAAAATTATCAAAGCAATTCTCTTCTGTTAATTTATAAAAATATTTTGTAGATTTGAACAACAGAAATTGATATATATATATATTTTTTTAGTTAGGCAAACTGTTGTACAAATTTCATTTTTAAATATCTTTCAAAGATGAATAGCTTCAACTTAGTTTATTCAATCGAACAGGATATAAAGCCTTATATTTACTATATAGTCACTATATAGTCATTTGGTAAAAAAACCTCTAAAAATATACTATATGCGATAAAACATTCTATATCCTTTCGAAAAATAAACTTTCAATAAAAATATGTCACATATATTAAAAAGACAAATTGTAAAAAGGAATGTAACAGCATCTCATCACGTATAAGTTATATCACGATAAAATTTTCGTTGAATTATTCTCTCGCATCAATGCATTTACCAATTATGCTTCAAATATTTGACTAAAAAATTGTGGTAAATACATTAATATGGAATTTTGAATGCATTCCTATGAAAGTTTTTTGTAAAAATGTTACATAAACAGTATGAATTTGTAAAATATACTGTATAAGCAAAATATTCGATTCAACTAATCTTTCTGAGTGGACTAAATCTCGATTTCTAAATTCCAAAAGATGCGATTTAATTTAGGTAAGAGGTAGGAAGATGTAACACTTAACTAGATCCAGGAGGAGCATTGAAATTAAACATGGTAGTTGGTGGACGTCCCGGCAATGGTTTTGGCGGTAATCTTGGTGTTACCGATCCTGAAATTCATCATAAATATTGTGAAAAAATTATAATGAAACAATTATATGCAAGATGAATTTGGAAAATTTAATATTAAAATGTAAAATTTAAAATATAAATCATATAAAGATTTCCAATTTTATATGAGGAAATTCTTGATATAATCTAATATTTTTACCATTAGGTTGCGTAGGTGGAAGTTTTGTAGGACTGGGTCCATTGAAAGACATATGTCTTCGTGGATGAACAGTACTCGAACACGTGTTTTCTAACGTCGAATTCCGCCTAGCGAGTAGCGCTGAACAACTTGGATTTAACGTTGTAGGAAGGCGAGGTGGTAACATCACGGAAGGTAAATCTTTTCGTGGCGGTAATGGTGGTGGAGACGTACCATCTCGTGGAGGAAGTATTGGTGCATTTGGAGCTTGTCTCGCCTATATATCCAAAAATAAATGATACAAAACATGTTATAATATAAAATACATAATTTGAATAAAAAATAAATTAAATGAAATTTTTTTAATAATTTACCTGTTGTGGTGACTCACTAATAGAACTTTCTCGTTTCCTATGAGATCTTGGTGGCAAAGGAGGCGGAGGTTGAATAGCAGGTATGTGGCTAGGAGAAGGAGGAGGTGGCATAGCAGCACTAGGACTTCCACTTGATGATGGCATACCAGTTAAAGCTCCCATTACACCTATTGTACCAGAATTAAAGCCAAAATGATTCTGTGGTTGATGATGCGGAACTGGCAAATGACCAGGTGATCCTAACTGTGGACTGCTACCTGGTGAGCTGATCGAAAGTCCCGACATACTGAGAGGACCTGGTGAACCTGGAGGTTGAGCTGTACCTGTATTAATAGTAACATACATCTACTATCTAAGCATACTACATAATAAAATAAAAATAATTTTATTTAAAAGAAATAAAATTTGTAAAAAGCGCATGCTAAATTCAATATTATAGCATACAAACCTCCTAGTAATACAGGTGCAAAAACAGTGTGGTCCCCTACATGAGAAACTATAATATGTGAAGTGTGTGGAGGAGTTTCTGGTAATTCTGGTGGTGGAGCTTCCGGAGGAGGATCGTGTAATCTAACACTTGAAGCTACAGCTTGCAATGGAGCTGGTAATTTACCGCTTAAACTTCTAGCTTTAATGCCTGGTGATTTTAAGTTTAAATCCGGCCATTTACGAGACTACAAAAAAAATAATAATTAATAAAAATGATATTATTATACGCATGCTGTATTGTAATTTAAAAAAAACTTACAACTCTAGGAGGTTGTCTACAACCTCTGGGTTCTACTTCTAAACTTTTATTATACAAATAATTGCTTATATCGGCTTCTTTCATATTAGGATCAAAAGGTGACAAATTTTCAATGAAATGTCTTATTCTAGGCTCCACTAAAAGACAATACGGTTGATTTTGATACTGCTGAATCTCTCCAGTTATTTCTGCCACTTTTCGCCGTTTACTAAAGTTTATAAGTTCTGGACTTCCTCGTAGATAATCCGGATTACCTTCTTCAATGTGTAAAATATTGGTCAGGTACATGCCTACAAAAATTTATTTATAAAAATTTAATCAAAAATTAAAAAATTAAAAAAATTTAACAATTAGGTTGTTTTATTCCTTATTATTTACCAAAAAATGGTACACAAGGTGGATTAATAGATCGTAATTTTTCTTGATATTTTCGAAAATGACCATTATTTAGTTCTCGAGCTTCTTCGAGAGCTTTTTCCAATCGTGCTGGTATTTGCTGTAAATATAATAAAATTTATTTGTTTTTTATATATTAAAATTAATTAAAAATTTTAACATAAAAACATACTTGAAATGTAAATTTTAACCTAAAAACGGATGCAGATCCCATTGCGCTAACAATTGCTAATACACCATTAAAATTATTAAGATCTTGAAGCACCATCATAATTTCAATTGCTCGCGATACAATTGCGACTCTCTCTTCTAAATTTTCAGTTTCTACTATTGTTTTTTCCAGCCACCGTGTAAACTATAAAAATTAAAAATTATTTAAAATTTTTTTAAAATATGTAAGATGAAATATGTATATATAATATAAAGTATATAAAATATTACTTACATTTGTTGTATGTTTTATCATTTTTAGTAAATTAGGTGATGTTTTCTCTTTATCTTTCTTAGTCCATACTGATCCAACTAATTCTGAAGGTTTTACAGTTCTATACAACTCAAACTCTAATAAAGTTAATTGTCTTGCTAATTCAATTGGATGTAACTATAATAATAAAAAGTGACTTATTTTCTACATAATATAAATAATATTAATTATATTTATAATATATTACCGTTAATATTCCCCATTCTTCTTCAGGAACTTTTAGATGCCACTCAATAGGTGGTGGAGATCGTTCAAAGCTAAATGTAATAGGTCGTTGCTCTGAAGGTTCACATTTTCTTTGCACAATTTTTATTACTGAATCTACCCATTTTCTCATAGATTTTCCACTTACTGTATCTAGAAACGATTGTAATCTTTCTAAAAGATTTCTATCGCGTTCGAAATCATAAAAATGATGATCAACCTGATATAAAAAATATTTAAATAAGTATTATAAAATTATAATAATTTAAAATAGTTATGTTAAAATTACAAACCCAATGTCTTAAAACATTTAAAACTCTGAATTGAACAGGTTGACAAAATTCTTTTCTATATCTTTTCCAATCTTCTCTAACAGTTGTTTTACAACCAGAAGATTTTTCTTCCTCACCATAAACTAATGATGGATCCGGTATATCGAATCTTTCTATTAATAAAGTCAATAGTTCCTGTGGTGAACAGAAACTCCTACAAAAAGAGAATAAAAATTTGTAATTATTTTAATAATAAAATTTAATAATATGTTATATAAATTTTAAAATATTTATGTACCTATAAGTAGTAAGGAATGTTCGTACAAAAGCTGGATCAGCATATATATGATAAGTTAATCTTTCTACCAATTTAACCAAAGTTGCACCTTTAATTAATAGTACACCTCCATTTTCTCTCGCTTCTAAAACAATATTTTCTGGGCTATCCTGTTCGGCAAATTTGTATAAATGTGGTGGAGGTAACTTTAAAGGATGCTTCCTTTCCTCATCTAAAAGGATACTGTCCAAAGTTCTTTCTAACATACTCTTTGTATTCAACATTACAAGATCCGCCATCCAACTATTTTTATCTTCGACGGATTTGGCAACAAGAATAACATTAGGGTGGTCCCTTGGTGCAATTTCAAAGGCATTTTTTAATTCTAAAAAATAATTACATATATTTCATTAATATATGTTAATATATGTTCATTAAATATAAAATTAAAATTTTAAAAATATTAAGATATATAATTATATATAATATATAATATATTAAGATATAAGATTATAATAATTTTTTTTTATTTATTTACCTTCAGTATCCTCTCTATCAATAATATCCACTTTTCTAATAAAAAATCTTTCTTTTAAGCGCAGTTCACCTTGGTGAGCTGGATGACCTACCACACCAACTGCTGCAACAGTAACGCTAACCCTTTTACCACCACTTGGTTTACAAAGAACTAACAAACCATCGAAAAGAAGCGCTCTTCGTTCTGTTAATCTTCTTCCATTACTTACCTTTCCCAACATATCCTCTATATAAAAAATATAATAAAAATATACTACTATTAATTTATATGAAAGAATAAATAATAAAAAAATAAGAATTATATTTATATTTTTCATACCACGTATAAATTCGTTACAAGATTGTCCAACATCTCTTTGATCCCAACCATCGACAGTTTTTTGTAATTCACTAGTTTTTTCTAGTGCTGCTTGCCTTCTTGCTCTACTTTGCATTCGTAAACCTGTATCTTTTTTTGGAAGACTCGCCGTAGATTGTAATAATTCCATTTGAAGTGGACTTAAAAGACCTTGTACTTGTTCCAATGTTTCACCATCTTCTATATTTGGTGTACGTTTCTGTAATACCTAAATAATATAAAATATTATTCAATTATTAGAATAACGTACATAATAATATATAATTATAAAATTATTTTTTATAAAATATACCTTTATATAATGAAAATATAAAAAACAATGCCATACTGGTTGTAATAAAAGTTTTGGCAAATAATATTTGACAGCTTCTTTAAAACCATGTCCTGCTGCTCTTAATGCAGCATTAGCTTCAGGTCTCGATAATAAATTCGTTAAAACTTCTCGACAAGCTGGACTATTAATATCTTTTGCGTACCTAATATTAAAATTTGTATTAGTAATTTTAAACCGATTATACTATTAATTAATAATACTATACACACTTTATATAAACATCAAATTCTGCTGCTTCTGCTAATTCTTCAAAACATGAGCCAACTGTAGGTGTTTGTTTTTCTTCTGTAATTTCCATTATATCTTCTAAACTACCAAGTAATGTTACAGTAACTTCATAAATATCCATAATATTACTAAAAAGTATTTCAATTTCAGATTTATCTTGTGCTAATTTTGCAATTTCTTCCCGAAATACCTATTTAAAAAAGGAAAAATTATTTTTTACTTAATTAAAATTTTTTTTAAATAAATGAACTATTTTACCTTAATTATCATATGAAGTTCACGTAAATAGTGACGTTCATCATGTATAAGATCCCGAACAGATTCTTCATAAGTTTGAGAAACAACTGCACCTAAACCACTTTGTGGACCTTCTGCGTAATCATCTTGATAAAATAAGTCCATTAATACCTATTAAAAAATGACTAATTATTTATCAATTATAATGTAATTATTGATACATTACATACAAAAATATGGCATAAATATGCTTTTTAAAAATTCACATTACCATATCAGCACACATTGCAACCCTTATATCTTCACAAGATATCTCCACATGACGTATGTTCTTGACATAATTTCCAGCTAACTGAAGAGAAAATAGTCTTAAAGATTTTCAGAAATTAATGTTAATAAGTAATATATAAAAAATATAATAAGAGCTTGAGATTATTATTAATAGAGATTGACAGTCTTTACCAACCTTCAAAATATCTGCAGAAATATATTCCAAAACTCCTACCACAAAAAGACTAACTTGTAAATCAATTTTTTGTTGTAATACTTCCTGTTAATATAAAAATAATATTTATATATTATATATTTATATAACTATATTTATATACATAAAAATATGTATAAAATAAATTTAATTTATTTTATTACTTTTTGTAATAATTGATGAATTTTGTCAACTGGAAGAACTAATGGTGATTTCTTTTTTCCCTTTTCCAAGGCATCTCTTGCATCTCTGAGTGCCCATCTGTCAATAGGTGTGGGAAATGTACGTCTTACTCTTTCTTCCACATCTTGAGGTGTATGCGGTGGAGGATGACCACACAGCATTCCCAACAGCCTTAAGATTAAACTCTCAACATAGTCTAAGGCATCTTGTCGTGCTTCAAGACTAGGATGTACTTGTTCTAATACCTATTTTATATTAATTAATTATTATTATAATAGCTATCATTCAGAAGAAAAAGATTATTTAAAAAAAAACAAACATATTATCCATGATTTAAAATTGTTACCTTTTTAGTCATACTTATTTACTATAATATATTGATATAAAGGATATTGTATATGCAAAATTGTTTATAATTAAATCATTTAATAATTGTTTATAATTTATTCATTTAATAATTAATTTTAGGATACATGGATTATTGTTATTTAAGTTTAATTATTTAAAATAAAATATTTAATAATTATATCTATATTTTTTTAATCATTATCATTTTTTAATAATTAAACAATATTGTAATTATCAATTGAATTATACTTTTAAAAATATATATATGTGGAAGAATAATCATTGAGAAAATAATTAAAATAGATACATAAAATACTTAATATGATAATTAATGATTTAAAAAAAACTTCTTTTCCAAATAAACTTTTCATTAATAACTTATTCTCATAAAAAAAAAAAATAATTAGTACATTAAATAACAGTATCCTTTATTCAAGATACAGATACAAACTGTTTTTAACAAAGTTGTATTACAAGAACATGCAGTGGTTAATTTCCAAAATATTTATTTCGTATGACGTATATGAAACATAACATTTAGATGAATCCCAGGATCGAATATTATTGTTACGCTCTTGGGACACAACAAGCTTGGTGGAACCTGAAAGGGCATAAAATACTCGCATGCATATCGCGCAACAATGACAATAGAACGAATCGACGAAAGCTTATCGAGGGCATCAAAGCATAGTGAGACAGAATCATTATAAATTTCGTATTATAAAATTCGAAGAGAATACCTTGCGTAGGGAGTTGACAAATACTCCCTTCCACTTCGCGATGTTCTCTTCTTTCTGAAAGTCGTAGCCTGACGGCTCGCCTACCACTGACGCCGGCGACGAAAACATCTCCACTGTCACGTCCCCGGACGTGTGTGGATCCAGCGACCGGCGGTAATTCGGCCCGCCACCGCCAGATGTCTACAATTTTCTCGCAAGTGGTTACTCCAATACACGTTTCTACAAATACAAGATCCAAGCCTAACCTCATATTTCATGCATATAAGGCAGGGATCAACAACTGTGTTCAACCAGTAGAACTAAAACAATACCTGTCTTTTTTTTTTTTTTTTTTTTTTTTTTTTTCTTAAGAATTCCGATTTTATTTCTTGATTTTACAATTACTCCATGTTTTCTAATGCCATTAATCCGACCTTTTTAGGGCGTGGTTGGCAAAAGTTTTTAGAAGTAAAGAAAATTCCAACTTCGTTTTCGGGACCCTAGGATTTTCCAGGATCTTTGACAACACTACCACGTTTTTATATATACGTTTCTTTTCTTAAAAAAAATCACGCACCCGATAGAATGTTAGCACTATAAAAAATAAAATACACTCCGGAGAGTTCCCAAATTTTACAAACAGCAACATTTTGTTGGGAATCACAAAAACTTGACAGAGACGTCTGTCTGTCCGTCAGTCCGTTTCTCAAGGCACAGACATCTCTGAATAATGCGACAACTAAGCTACTTGATAAAATTTCTTTAAGATTCGTACAGTTGTATCACTCATTAAATACATCTCCGAGGCTAACTCGAGAAATTCCGAGTTATGTCGTTTGTACATTTTATGCGATATTTTCACTTGAATTTTTGTCAGAACTTAATACGAATACCACTACTATTAAAGAATACTATTGCGCGACTCGCATCGATCGATAACTGCGATAATACTGTCTCCAACGAGATTTGCGATTTCGAGATATTTCACTATTATAATATCGATTTTGACAATGAAAAATTTTTGAAATTTATATAGTAGATTTTTACAAAAAATCTATTTAATTTATATAATAGTCTAAATCTATACTTTGAATTTTTATAATTATTCTGAAAATAAATTTATATAATTTTTGAAATTATAATTATTTTAAAAAATGAATTGTAAAAGTTGTTAATATTGACGAAATATTAATCTAATAATGCATATTATAATATTATGAAAATTATAAAATTTAAAATATAAATTATAAATTTAAAATAAAAAAGATATTTAAATAACAATAATATTTTAATTATTTTTTAAATTATTTTTTAATTATTTTTTAGCTACATTAATTATTAATAATATTATATATAACAAAAGTTTATACGTAATAAGAATGTTATATATATTTCAAGTAATTCTCACTAGATGGCAGTAATAGGATCATTAATGGATATTATTTCATAAAACACAAAATTGATATGAAAGATATTATTTCATATAATTTCGTCAAATAAATCATTATAATAATTATTAATAAATTTATTGTTCATTTAATACAATAATTAAATTATTTTTCTATTTTTATAAAATAAAATTTATAAAATTTTATAAAATTTTTTAATATTAATACTTTTTTTATTTTTTAATATTAATAAATTTATTATTAATAAATATTGATTATCATATTAAATATATTATTGTTACAATTAAATTACCATTAAATTTATCATTAAACCTTAAATTTGTCTAATTTGTTTAATTTTTATATATTAAATTACTTTTAATAATATATTTTTTATATATTACTTTCAATATTTTTAGTAATATATATTCAATATATTTAAGTAATATAATATAATAAAGATATATTATTAATTAGTTTTTACGTTACAGAGAAACATTAAATTTTAAGAGACATTAAAACTTTATGTTACAGAGACTCATAGTTAATAATATATATTTTAATTTTCGCGCGAATTTGAACGATTCGTACAACTTCAGCCAATTATAAAGTTGCTTACAAAATTTATACACATGGTGTCAGTCTAATGTTGAAAATCGTGAGGAAGGGATGTGTTACTGATAGAAGTGAGTAATTACGTAGAATTTCTATTGATAGGCTATTATATTACGATTTATAGATTATTAGTACCCTCATGATTAATATGTATTTGTTTAATCATATATTAAATATTATTCTATTAAAATTGTATTTGGAATCTTTCTTATCGTATTATATTGCTTATTTATTTGACATTTAAAATTAGCGGTAGTTTGTATTATAAATATATTTAAATCACGATTTAAGTTAAGTTATTGCTTTATTTTAATGTAATTTTAATTTTATATACTTATTTTATTTTCGTTTTGATTTTTATTTATATATTATTGTTTAATTGTCGAGATGATTTGTATAATAGTTCATGTACACGCTATAATGATTGATAAGTTTTTATTTCTTTTAATATAAAAAGATACAGTTGCTATAACTTTTTTTTATCTTTTTATATGAAATGAAATAAATCACCATAATCAATTTTTTTTTATATCTTTTTCTTATTTTCATATGTATCTTTCTTCTATTTTTATATATATTTTCCAAATGCGTATATCTGTATATCAATTCATATATTATTTCTATATTTATTTGTTTCGATGTTATATTCGAAGTTGAAAACATTTTTTATAATAACCTTTTGAAGAAATTGGCGATTTACATCATATTACTACTCTCGATATATTTCGACTTGCCACCGACGAACATTCGAGTTGACAAACAGAACTCTCTCCAATTTGTAATTCGATATGTCGAAATCACTATGCAAGATGTTCATTCTGCTATCGAAAATTGTGTGACGTTCGGACGCTTTTCTTCAGGTGAGTGATCTATTTCTATAATAATATTTATTTCCATATTTCTTATTTCTTTATTTTTCGTATTTTACTATTTAATATATATTTATTCAATAATTTATTGAATATTTCTATAATTGATTTATTATTTCATTTTTTTTTTTTCGTTTATATGACTATTATATGACTGTAACTATTAAAATTAGTACTTTTTATTTTAAATTTTTAAAATGAGCATGGTTTTATTTAATGCAATATTCTTTTTTATTTCATATATTTTACATAATACATTTTATACATTTTATTTTAAAAATATAATTATATTATGTGCAGATTAATAATTGCTGAGACAATTTTCATGGCGGGAAAAAAGGATTTCAATATGGATGCCAAAATGATCGATGTAATACTTTATCTTTTACTTTTCACAATTTTTCACAAAGAATAATAGTTTGATATTTTTTTAATCAGAAATAGATAAATTTTTAATTTCTTTTTATTGTATTATTGATTAGTGATATAAATTTATTAAATAGTTTAATATAAATATATTAATTATTGGGAATTCTAAGATAAAGCTTCAGAAAAATAACAATAATTTTTTCAAACGCTCGCAAAAAAGAAAGGAAAATATCAAAATAATATTTTTTTTTATGTTTTTCTCTTTTAATACAGTTTTAACTTATCTTTATTTTCAGAGAATCGCGATCTGTAAGTCAGTTCTTGTTCGTAACAATATTTTCAATATTTTTTAAAACAATTTAATTTAATTTAATTATATATATGTGCTTTAATTTAATTTAATTTAATTATAATAATAATTTGCTAAATTAAAAGTGTTTGTTTGATTATAATTTAATTAAATAAACATGTTAATAATTTTTTTTTTCATCTTTAAATATTCATTTTGAATAACATATTATAAATATATTAATTATTGTAATGTTTAAATTAAAGTAAATTATAATGTTTCATTTTTTCTTTTTTATAGTTTTCATTTTTTTCTATTGTTTCTTATGGGTTACTCAGTATGGATAACACTATAAATTCTTCGCATCTAATGGTAAGTTGCATACATTTTGATTTCTTCGTTCATTCAATCATATTAGAATGAAAAAATCCGAGTTGATACAAGTGATTGTACAGATTTTTTTCACAAATAGTGATTGCTATTTATTATATCTATGAATAATAACATTTTTTGTGTGTTTTATTTATTATTTCAAATTAAGTTTTCTTATGCATTGCATTTTTATATATAAATATGTATGAAATTAAAAAATCAATTTTAATTTATAATTTATAATTAATAATCATTTTTAATTTCATTTTTTTTATTTGATTTTCAAAGTAAAAGACAAAATTCTGTTTTTTTTTTTTTTTTTGTTAAAAATAAATATATTTTACGTATAAGAAGATATTTCGCGGCAAACAAATCTCAGAATCAAAGCAATAATTTTTGAACACTATTTTATAAGTTTATAAGTATATGATAATTGCTCAACAATTGACGATGCCTTAATGTACGATATATTTTTCATATTATATGTGTGATTAGGTTATGGAATTACATTGTTACAATTGTTATTCTTTCTAATAGTGTTTTCATTCATTATTATTCAATTTTATTACAATTAATAATCGTATAAATTATATCATTTTTAACATTCTTTCTTTACAAATTACACGAATTCTTTCAAGCGTGAATATACATAATTACAATTGAAATACATTTTTATCATGCAAAGACTAAAATTCGTCATTCAGATTTCAAGAAAAATGGTAAACTTAGAGTATGAAAATAATGTTAAATTCAGATATCTGAAACGTTTCAGAACTAGATGTCCTTTGTTAAGAATATTTATTACTAAAAATAATCTTAAAAAATATATTTTTTTTGATTATTGGATATCTTTTATTTATAATTAAATAAGCATTTTGATAATTTAATTTTTTTAAATATTAATAATTTTTTTTTTAAATATACTTCTCAATTATTATTAATATCTAATAATTAAATTTGTTATAGATATGAACTGAAAAAGACAAATAAAATAAAAGAGACATAGTTACAAAATTCTCTGATATTTACTTACAAGAGAATAATTATTTATTATTGAAATTTAGCTTATTTCAAGAACCAATGGAATAGAAAGAATCTCATTTTTTTTTTTTCATTAGATAAATCTTTCAATTTTTATGATATATAAATAAAATTAAAGAAATGTTTAGTTTTCTGATGAATAAGCTGCATAAATAAATTATTTAATTTTTATGTTAAAAATATTTTTAATTTTAAGCACATTAACATAATTAAATTGCACAATTCAATTATTACATGATTTTCTCCATTCTAAAAAATCTTTGTGATACATATTATTTTGTTCTTCATTCTTTTATTAAATGCAGCCTTTTTTATTTCCAAATCTTTCAGATACAAATCTAGATCTCTTATTTTTCATCAATGTCTATAAATTTTATCATTCCTAAATTCTTTTATTTTAGAAAATTAAATTCTTAAATATTTGATTTAAAATCACTAGTTATTAAAATATATGTGCATATTTCCTCATATTTCCTCTGATCATATATAGTTTAAATCATATATATTATAGGTTATTAAAAACTATGATGTCAACATGAATGTAGTTAAGTTATAAATAGAATCTTTTAGATTTGTGATAAATAGGATTTATAAAAAAATTATTTAATTCTTACTTTTAGATAGATTTATAAAAAATAATTTTAAAATCTTCAATAGACAGGATATTTAAAAATTAGGATGTAAAAAATGAGTTTGTTTCAGGATCCTTAGGAGCAGAGAAATATATTCTATTTCAAATAGATCATTAATTAAAATAGTAGCATAAATTTATTATGAATATATGTTTAATAGAAGAACATTGATAATTGATATATATTTTTTTTAATTATCAATCATTTTCATAACAAAAAAAATATTAATAAGAGGATTTAAATTTTGTTTAATTCATTTTACACTTCTTTTTTTGTTTGCTTTGAATAACAATAAAGAATTTTTTACATTAAATTTATTTAAAAATGAATTAATTTTTGTGTAAAAAAATTAAGATAAAATTTTCAACTTTTAATTGAGTAACTTGGAAATTTTTTAGGATTATAATTAAAAGGAAAAATGAGGAAATATTCATTTCACTAATAGATTTAGAAATAATAATTTATATAATTAAAAATCGAATATGAATTAAAATTTTAAAAGTGATAAACAAATTTGATTTGTATTATAAATATTTATTATTAGTAAAAAAATATTAAAAAATATCTTACAAAAAAATTGATATTCGGTTTGTCATTACATTAAATAAATAATCGTTCGATAATTATATAGAGTATTATATATAAAAAATGATGATGATTTTTAATGAAATTGATTCATGATTCACCGATAATTTTTCACAACGATACATCAAATTTCTTTGTTTTCATGCTGGTCATCCTTTTTTGACTCGATGTATCTTCTTTGATAAATAATAAATTCATTCCAATATTATTTGTAATTTTTCATAGTTTCAACTGCAAACAAAAAAAAAAAGAGGTTAAAAAATATTTTAATTTAAAATGAATAATCTCTAAATATTTAAATTATACAACTTATATTATATTACAGAATTATAGGAATTATTTGCAAAAAATAATTATAAAGAATTAAGAATACAAAGAAATTCAAATGTGTGAAATTCAATATGTTTTCATCATTTCAACAATGTAAACAGTGGAAGTCGTTCTCGAAGGAAAATAATATTGTTAATATCTCTTGTTTTTATACTGAACTTCCCTGATCCACATTGAAGAAAACAACACATTCATTATTTTAATTGTGCAATGTTATCGAGACTTAAAGTATCAATGAAAAGGCAAATCAATCATTGCAAGTAGGTCTTTACTATTTTGATTGTATTTCAATACTACAAAGATCATCGAGTTTATCTAGCGCTATAATTTACAAATTGACAATTTTCTCAATGAATGCTATAACATTCATTCGAGATTCAAAATATTTTTACTTGCAAATGTTTTGAACGAGAATGCAATTACATATTGCATTTTAAAACATTATTATCATTGTTAGCAATGAATTTAAATTTTATTTAATTATTTTTATTGAATTGTGACATCTTCATAATTATTATAAAATTTTATTATACTTATTGTTATATTATCATCGAATGAAATATTGATTTATAAATTTTCCAATAAAAATATTCTTTTTTTGAAAATATACAATAAAAGTATATTTATAAAATTATACGGAAATAATATATACATACATATCGTAAAATAAATATTATTTAAAAAATTATTTAAAAAATTCGGTTAAAAATAAATATTATAGATTAAATTTTTTTTTTAATAATAACTTTTAAAAATGAAAAAAAATTAAATTTCTTCCTTTATATTTACACATTAATTATATGAAATTAATATATGGTATATATAAATATATTATATACAGAGCTCAGAAATTTGTTTCCAGAATATTTCTCACTCGTTTATCCTCATTTTCGGCAATATTTGAAGTCACTTATATTTCTCTGTTATAATATATATCTCTCTTATCTCAATTTCGACAAGTTCTTATCGTGAAAAGTACTTGTAAAAGTACTTCAAACAGACTTAAATCAATTAGATCCGCATTCCTCGAGTTCCGCACAGTAGGCATTAACTAGTAATTCCATTTACGATAACATGCACATATACCATTGCAAGAATCTTGTATCAATCATCGATCCAAGTCAATTCTCAATTCTCAGATATAATTTAAAAAATAAAATTAGCACTATTAATTTCACAATACATATTTACTACGTAATATATTGTCACAAGAATCGTGATAAAAATTTGTTTCGTGATTTAACATCTTTGAAAAAAAGCGAAAAAAAAAAAAAAAGAAAAAGGATTAAGGAAGATGGAAACGCGTGCCCGTAAGGGTAATCTCCAATTATTAAACATGGTATCGAATTATTTCTGATGCAAATTGGAACGATTATGAAACAATCATGAATGATAAAAGTTCGTCTCGGTTCAAATATATATATATTATATATATATATATATATATCAAATATATATCTGGGATAATATTACGCTTTTCTTACATCACGTTTACGATCCTCATGCACACGTTCTCATCGCGAATTTCGAATACATGAATGTGATCTTATCGCGAGCGAAGAAGATAGAGAGAAATGGAAAAAAAAAAGGATAGAGAGGGGGAAAGAAAAAAAGGAAATCAGTTTCGTGTGGCGCAGTTGATTTCTTTCCAGATTTCTTTTTTTTTTTTTTTTTTTTTTTTTTTTTTTTTAAAGTTTTTTTCAAAGATGGAACTTCGAAACGTTTCGATTCAGCAGTTTTACAATTTTACGCGAAATAGTAAATATCGAAATGCGTCACAGAGGACGACGTATGTTGATTACTACGACAAATTTCACGATTAATTTTACTCTATCTTTTCGCGTTAATTAAAAATTTGCTTTTTTTCTTTTTTTTTTTTTAATATCAAGCGATAAAAATTTTTTTACTTTAGAATTAAAATAGAATTTAATTTCTAAATTAAAAGTTTTCTATATTCTTCTGATTTGATTTCTTCGTTTATGTTTAAATTATAATATTTAACGATCAACGATTGACTCTTTATTGAAAAAAATTATATAAATAATAATTATCATATAATTTAATTTACCTGATAACTGGATACGCTGCGTTTCCTTTGTATCCTAATTTGCCCGATAATCTGAAAAGTTTTTGCAGATTCTTCATATTTATGTCGAAGATCGATCGCTTTTGGTGGTTGCTATAAAATAGATTAAAAGATAGAAAGTAGATAAAAAAAAAGATTAGAAAGTATTAGGAGATAATCGATAAAGGATTTTTTTATTTTTTTTTTTAGTTATATTTTTACTTACGTCTTTTTTGATTGCAATTGTTTGCTGATTTTTAATTGCTCTGCCAGGCTCTCGTTTATCGATTTTTCCGTCATTTTGGAAAGCGCCATCAAGGTCTCTAGTTCTGCTCGTCTTTGGTCCGATAATCGTTTGTATCGTCTGCATACGTGATAAAAAATTTATTTAAAAAGGAAAAAAAAGAAAATAATAAACTTGAATAGGGTCAATCTTTTTTTGCGAACGTTTCTTTATCGTTGGAGGCGAGATTTTTTTAATTTGCTAATCGAAATCGCGCGTTTTACTATGATGAATGTTAATTAAAAGATATCAAAAGGAATATCTTTTTTAATTCGAGTAGAAATTGAGATGAAATATTTATTGAAAATTATTGAAAATTATTGAAAATATTTATCGAAAATAATTGTTAAAACTCACTCTTTACTCGTTTTTGATATCTCTTGATTCAATTCTTCCGCTGCACCAATCTCTCCCATTTTCGAAAAATTTAACAGTGTATCGTAGATGCTCATTGCATTTTCACGCGTAACTCTATGGATAAATACAAGATTAATTCTATAGAAATAATCTCCAAAAATCTTCTTAAAAATTAAAAATTAACAAGATCTAATAGACATCCTTCGTAAATAAACGAAATAGAAGAAAAGAAATATTTATACCTTTCGTATACACGCTGTGCAGACACGATTCCATTCGCGTAAAGCACCCCGAATATCGTCACGATTCCCACGCAGGTTTTCCAATCGGAGCCTTTTCTCTTATTCATATTCCCTCTCATTCTTTTCGTGCCCAAATTCAAAAAAAAAAAAAAAAAATTCGAAATCGAAGAAAAAAAAGAAAGAAAGATCGAAAATTTCCCGCACAAAATCTTCTACTCGATCGAACCTTCGGAATCGAGCGTACGTCTTGATTGTTGTTTGAAACTGTAACGCTACGAGGCTCTGATGGCGCGTATATATGTATTCTTGCCTCGAGGCAATCCCCACCTCCTTCCTTCTCCGATTCCTACACCCTCTTTCGTAATTATCTTTCCAATGTATTAAACGTTCCTTTCGTCGTTCAAGCACGATAAATCGGTATCAACTTGATTGATTTTCTATCATTTTCTCTTCTTTTCTCCTTCTCGTTTCGTTCTATCTCCCATCCTGCTCATCAGGATATATTATATTCTATATTATAATATATTATATTCGTAGGGCACGTATATTATATCCCCGAATAAGTCGAGGAGATCGAAATAATTTAAGTCTCATCGACGCGTGAAGAAGCGAGATGAAGATGGAATAATCGTGTGACGAGGATAGAACTATTACACTTTACTATTTATCACTGAATCTATGAATGAGAATTTTCAATTTACAATTTATTCAAATCAACGAACGATCCATATTTTTGTATATCCACTTTCATATTTGTTTTTTTTAGATTCTAAAGCTGTTTCTACAAACGTGTAACGTCTTGTATTATATGAATTATACACTGATTATACATTGGCGATCCCGTCCATTTCTTTAATTGTATATTGCCACATGATACGATATAGCATATAGGGAATGAGAAAGAGGATCGGAAATCTGGAGATGATTTTGCAACCGTTCGTCAAATAATTGCACAAATGGAAGAAAATTTCTTTCTGCGTAGTATTCTTCTATGTAATATTCCACGTTATTACAGCACACAATCGTGACGATAGTTTATATATACGATATTTTCACAAAAATTCTTAGATTATCTATGAACTTGCGTTATTTTATGAAAGGACGACCTTAGCCAATTGGATCTTGGCCGCATGTTTGATTCAAAGATTCGATTTCATCCAATGGAAATTAATCGCAATCGTATTTGTGTTAATGGAACGTGAGTGAAAAATTAAAATTATTTATCCAAAAGCGACAAGAGCGGTTCGTTTAATCAGAATAATCGGAAAGCATTAAAATATTAGAATCATTCTGTGTTACTTTTTCTTCAGAGTTCATCGATCGAAAGATTCGTGAGAATCCCAATTGTACGAAACTAATGAAATTTTTAGAGAGAATAGGAATACCAGATATCAAGCACATGATGTTTGAACTATATTTTTATCGAGCTCGAGTCATTCGTAATTCGAGTTGCATCCTTGAAACGTGGATTTTATCGTTCTGTTTGATTCGAAGAAAATTTTTCATTTCGATCAGCAGCGGATCTTTGTTCTTTCCTTTTTTAACAAGCGGTCATTCGGTCATTCGAGAAAAGTAAATATTAGACACGCGACAGGAAGAAAAATGCTTACTTATCTCGATAATGACCTTTTTTTCTTTTTCTTTTCCTCTTTCTTTTTTTTTCTTCCGCATTTTTTTTTCGATAGTTTCACATCTGACGCGAACGCGAAATTCTCTATCGAAAACGGTAGTGGAAGTAGAAGGGGACGAATACATGAATGAAACATTTCAATAATTAGTTGATTCGTCTTGATTCATATATGATATACGTAACTTTTTCTATCACGTGTCTATCGGAAAAATCATGCATGCTTCTCGTGCAAAAGATTTCACGCGAAAAATTAGAATCTCAATTCTCAAGAAAAACTTTTCATTCGTTGTGATCAATCAACTTAAATGATTTAAATTTCTCGAAACGATTCGAATTCGCCAATCTGCAAGAACGAGTTGTAATTCGAATTTCATCCCCAAAACGAAATAGATAGCAAATATAGGTAGTCGAAGAAAGTTAAAGGATAATTGACAAGAGTTAAAGGAAAATTGGAAATTTGATAAAATATTATAATTAATATGTTTTCTTTACCGAATAAATCTTAAAATGAGAATGAAACGATGACAAATTAATGATGATTTAATTAAAAGTTTATGTTTAATCATTCAAATCTTGCATAATCTATCTTAAGGAAATATTTTTCATATTTTAAATGGATTTTCCTCTTCGATATCATCGCAGTAAAAATTAAATTAATCGATGATTCAAGGATATCGATCGAGGATTAAAGCGAATATCCGGTGGTCAATGAAACGCCAATTTTGTTGAATGTGAATCGTAAAAATGTGTAATCGAAATATATTTGTACCAGACGAAGATAGATGAATATATATTTCGTTTTTTCTACCAACGATTCGAGATTAAAATTCGCAAAACGAACAATGAAGAAATAATTCGATTCTTACATAGAACATGTAAATATTATTTGTATTATCGTCATTGTTTTTCTTCTTTTGGATTATTCTCTTTATTTTCGAGGTTGTTACGATTCTAATCGGTGATCAATTAAATATTTCTTTCATTTTTCTTAGAATTAACTTTGATAATTTTTCATTCTATTTTTAGAATATCTCAATAATCCAACTTTATTTTCTCGTTATGTTTGTATACAATACGACGGGGAGAAGGGGAAATAAGATAAAAAAAACGAATTCTGATTTTTTTTGAATTGAAGTTAAATCGTTCTTTCTCGATTGTTCACAAATTTTTCTACTTGAGAAACGTTTCAAATTGGATTACCTAATCATTGTATACTAATTTAATATTTTTGTCATTAAATTTCTTTTATTTAACTAGAATCTTTGCTCAAAAAAAAAAAAGGAATTAATAATTAAGGAAAATTTATAATCAATGCCTCGAAAAAGAATTAAATTTTTCAAGTCCTATAAAATAAAAAATTCATATCAGTTTCGATCTCCTAGAAATCAATTGTTTTAACATTAAATGACTTTGACTTTTTTTGAAATTGAATAAAAAAAAAGTGTCTCAAAAATCTGTATTATCTATTGCAAAAGATCCACTGTATTCGTTTAATTTTCTTCTTCTATTAATCATCGAAATCGCCCTTATTATACTCCTTCTTTACTCTTCATTCATTTTTTCCTTACCAAAAAAAAAAAAAAAAAAAAAAAATTCTTTTTTGTAAAAAAAAAAAAGCACATTCGACGCGCCACTAATCTCATCAGAGCGGAGAAAAAAAAAAGAGGAGAGCGAGCAAAAAAGAAATAGAGACGAGAGATCAACGAACTATTGATTTACCTCATTATTACGAGACTTGTATAAAAATAAAAGAGGAGAAGGAAAACAAAGTTTGCAGCCAAAACACGCACACGGTACGGCAAGCGATATCCGCGGAAAGCTTTTTCGCAATCGATCCGTGGTTTTTAAACAGGCAGGGAGGTTGATGAGCGAAATCTTTTACGTAGCGAGAACCGATAAACCAAACCATGCTAATCAGAAATAAAGGATTGTGCAACTTTGGAGGCCCGTTCCATTCGATATGACACGAACGCGCTCACACAACTATCTATTACTGCGCAGTAATAAAACTTGCGAAATCGTCCACCCACGCGATCTGTGTGTGCGTATTTATGAAATAATTTTATATCTGTCGGTCACGCTCGCCACGAATGAAACATCAAGAGTCGTAAAAGTCAAACGAGAACATGGAGGAAGTGCAATTTGCATCGTGGCTTAGCTTTCCTTTCCGTCCAACTTCCGATTCTTCGAGACGATTGCAGTCGACGAGTCGGTTTCCGGGTACGCGGAGAAAGGAACGGCCACAATTCGCCCGTGACGAATGGAATTTCTCTTTTCTTTTATGATGGATAATTATTATCCATATATAATTATTACTCTCTTCTCAATATTGTGAACAGTGTCGTATCGTATTCTGTAAAGATAAAGGTTTATTTATTTTTTTTTTTTTTTTGTGACCGATGGACAATGTGAAAACGATTATAATTTCTTTTGATAAACGTAGTAATTTTAGTAGTAGAGATATTTTTCAATTTTATATATAGCGCGTTGTGTGGGCAGATGGTGTTCTTCGAATCGAGATAATAGTATTGAAATTTTGTAATTTTCTCGTGAAGAGATTTTTTTTTAATGAAAAGTATTTAAGTAGAAAATTCTATTATGTAGTTGAAGTTACGAAAGATGATTTTATGGTGAAAGAAAATTGGGGAAAGGAAGAACGGGGAAAGAGAATTCGTTCGAGTCTGTTTAAAATAGAGGGGATCTTATTCCACTAGCTTTTTCACTGATAGTAGTACGAGTCGTTTTTAATCCGACTAGAGAACAGTTCTCAAAATAAGGTTATACGTGAATAATTTTTTGATAATAAAATTACAAATATTAAGATTAATCGACACCTCACAAGCATATGAATATGTACTATATAGTAATTTTGAAGTTATGTAAAGTTTTATAATAAAATTTTTACACAGTTTTTGATTATATTATTATTATCTACGAATGTTAATTTTAAATTGATTTTATTATTAATTTTATAGATATTTCTGTTTACATTTCATATTTTTCGATCTAAAGTAAAAAATTTATTCGAATTTTTGATCAATTAAATCGTTCGAAGATCGAATAGAGTAGACATCAAGATAAACATCATATTTACCATCAGTATGTAATAATTCGCTTAAAATTTCTCCAGAGGGAGCCTCAGATATATTTAATTTATCAGGACAAAATGAAACGATATACGTAATTTTAAAGATTTCATCTCGCAATGGAAATGTAATATTTGAGGAAAGTGACAGTGTAAGGGAAGTGTAAGTGAAAAAAAAAAAAAAGAAAAATAATTTTTTTTTCTCGTATAGCTGATTATTATTTTTATTTCTTTTTCTAAAATAATCAAGAATAATTATGTAGAATCGCAGAAAAATAACGATAAAACTGTTTCGAATTCATCGATTATGATTTCGAGACAAATTACGATACAATCATATTGCCGAGTTATAAAGTTTTATGTTATAGTCTTTAATACTTTTCTCGGTTTCTACGGTAAATAAATAAATAAATAAATAATTTAAGAAAAATAAAGAGATACAGAAAATAAAAAGATTGAACGATGAACACACGTATACATAGATAATATTACATAGAATTTGAAATACGAAAATATTTTTTCGTGAAAAGTTTAATTATTATTAATAACTTGAAAAATCGTTGGTATTAATTAATATTGCAATTTTTTTCTCGCTCTCTCTCATTCTTTCTTGAATTCATCGATAAATTAATACAATGTAATGATAATCTGTATGAAAAATGAGAATTCAACAACAGTTCTTAAATTCTTTTAAATCTTTATCTTTTTTTTTTCCCCCCCAAATTTAATTGTTAAAACATTTCAATGTTATTCTGTCATTGTGATTAATTTTTATCTCTGCTTCTTCGACAATAATAAAATAACACATTTAACGGAGACGATGAAAAAATCTTGTTTACGATTAATCGCAAAAACACAAGAATAAATAATTCTTTCCTTTCCTAATAACAGCCCCATAATCTTTTCGGTTTTCATTTTTCTTGGAAAAAACTTTACTTTGAAAAATTTAAGAATCGTTGCGTTATAAAAACGATCGAGAAAAAAATATGGAACAGCGATGTAATAGTCTTGTACATTTAAAATGGATCTTCTTAAAAATTTTTGTAAAAAAAAGATCTCAGATTCTTGTAAAAAAAAAAAGAAAAAAAAGAGAGAACCATTATTCGAGCTCTGGATCGTTAAAATCCATCCGTTTCGGAAAAGATGTAACGGAGCCTAAGATTATACAATTAAATAATCATTAATCAAAACATCGAAACATTATCAATGAAAGTAGGCTTCATTCATCGCTAAAATATCATTCGTCCTTCGTCACACCATAAATTATTCTTAAAAAAAAAAAAAAATGCAACTATAAGATAAATTATTAAATCAAAAGAGAAAAAGGAAGAATGTACACAGTAGAACGTCGATTATCCAAATCGAGGTTATACAAATAACCGATTATCCGAACACAGGATGAATCATTTGTGTATCTATGCTTGAACTAACAATATTTACTTTCTTCCTCATTTTTTCTCTAACGTTGATTGTAAAATTTTAATTATTTATTTTTTTTTTTTATAATAAACATTCGTATTTAAAAATTGCTCGATTTTTAATTTCTTTTTTACGACATGTTTATGTTGCGTGTTGTGTCGTGTTCTTATAACATGTTCGTAAATTTGATTTTTTTTTTCTATTTGAATCAATTATTTAAAAAAATTCAATTATTTCTACTGTATACAGTACGTTTCTCTTCGAGAAGAATCGAAATAATAACAGTCTAAGATCGATAAATAATAAATAAATTATACTCTATGCTAAAATAAAATAAATTATAAATAAATAAATAACGAAAATGGCAGATGTTCAGGAACGAATAAAAATCGAATTAAATCACGATCGACATCGAAATCGATAAATACTTATCGAATACGATTTAATTTCTTTTCTTGTCATCTTCTTCTCTTATATATTTCGTGATTAATTACTTAGTTATCCTAATAGTTTTTTTAATTTCGGACGAAGGACAGTCCGTAATACTGTTTGTAGGCGGTTTTTAGGGTCGAGAGATCGCGTATAATATTTTTCTTCTTTTTTTTTTTCTTGCTCTCTCAAAATCTTTTCTTTCTGCTCTTGTTTTTTCTTCTTTCGTTTTTTTTGTCTTTTTTTCTTCTTCTTCTTCTTCTTTTTCTTCATTATACCTCGTTCTCTCGACCCTGTCTTCGTGCTTGCCCTGTGATCCAGCACGATTTTCGTGTTTCGAAATTAAATAAATGGATATTCTTCGCTCGATGTTTGTCGACTCTCCATTAATTTCTGAAATAAAAGAAAGAAATATTTCCTGATTAATATTAATCAGGAGAAATTTAAAAATAAAGTTTTGTTAATTTTACGTGGAATTATTATTATTATTATTTTTTTTTTTTAAATAAAACGTAAATTTAACATCTCGTTCCGGATTAATCTCCTAGATATTTGTTTTCCATTTTTGAACGATTTCTAACATCGTGATAAAATAATAACGAGATTCGTGTTACAGAGTGTTAATAAGAAAATCGTAAGTGTACTCATTACGCGTGAAAAAATGGATTTATCATGAGAAAACGGTGCACTCTTTGCATAAAGTTCACGTTTGGATATCGAGGCGCGTGCCATCGATTCATTTTATTTCTCTTTCCTCGTCCAATTATCTCTGTGATTGTACGATACAGTAAAAGAATTACGCGAGCACATGATCATATCTCGAGTTATATAATAATTCTAATTCGAGAAATGCAATTAATTCTTATTCAAGAATTATTTTGTATCGATCTTATTCGAAGAGGATTTTTGCAATAAATATTTCATCGTTCATATTTTTTATTAAAATTTTAAAAATCGTGACAAGGTGGTATCACGTATTTTAAAAAAATCAATTAATAAAGATTTATAAATGGAAAAAATTAATAAAGATTTTTTTTTTTTCTATATCAATTGTAGAATTACATATAAAATTAATAATATAATTTTTAATAAACTTACCACCGGTGACGAAAGAATATTATCCTTGTCGAGCAATTCAGGATTGTTATTAATGATTTGCATGATACGTTGCAAAGTTTCAAGTTTGTTATTAATCGCGGATCTTCTTCTGCGACCTCTGTAACAAAAAATGCGATATCGATTTAAAAAAAACGGATTGATTAGATTTTCTTTTTTTTTTTTTTTTATCTCTCTTATAAATTATACGATCGAGAGGAAAAGGTAATACGTGTCAAAAGATATCGAACGAATTGTAATTCGAAACAAAGTACGAATGAAAATATTCATATGAATAATTTCTTCTCGTTGTCTTTTCTCCTATTCAAAGAATAAAAAAATTAGAATTCTTCACGATTTTAAAAGTATTTCGAAAGTAATTCGAGAAATAATTTAATAAAGATCCTACCACTTCCACATGGCAATTAAAAAAAAAAATAATAATAATTGCTAATTAATAATCTTAATTACATCAAATTCTTGTAAAATGATATGAAATTAATTCGCATAATATATCTAACACGTTTCATAATACGTTTAATTAAATATTCTCGTATTAATTTCGTAATAAATATTCATAATTCTGAAATAAAATAAAACTCCACGTGGAATATTTTAATAAGAGAGAACAATTTTTAATCGATTTCAATCTCTCGACTACACGCCACGTTAAGCGCCTTGGACAAGTCTCTTAAGCGTGGATTCCGCATTCCGCGCTTAATTTGCACATATTGGATTCGCCATTTCGTCCATCCACTCGAAAATTTTCCAAGGGAAACGCATCACGAATTTATTTCGCCCGCCGTTCCGTTCACAGATCGATTAAAATCGAAAATTCGATTCGTCATTGGTGGATCGATCGAAAAATTCGCATCGTAAATTTTGCTCCAATCGCGCGGCACAAAGTTTATAAATAATAGAACGCTTCCCTCCTTCGGTCGTTCGCGACGCGACAGACAAACTCGGCAGTACGAGGACGAACGTCGACACGGAAGGAACGTATTGCGCGATTCTCTTAAAATTTATATTTTATATTTTGAATAAGCGTTATTCATACGCGAAAAATATAAATATATTTATTTTTATATATATATATTTTTATTAAAAAGTTTTATATTAAAAAGTGTATATCGAAAGAATGAAATATTTATTTAATTATATTTTTCATTTATTGTTTGCATTTCGAATTGGATCATTTTTTCGCGTGAATCGTATATGAAAATTTTATTTATGTCCTACTAAAATCAATTAACAAGAAAATATAAATTTTCACTTTAATGAATATATATACATAACCGTAACGTATAGTTTAAGAACGAAATTTGAATGGAAAATTAAGAATAAAGGACAGGAAAGTAAAGAAAGAAAGAGATTGAAAAATAGACTACATATTTCTCGTGAAAATTGCTGAAATAAATTCGATTCGATGAAGTAAATGGAAACAGTACTTGAACTTTCATCTTTCACGTTTTCAGACTATGAATCATCCTTGATACACATTCAAAGCGGATAAAGAATTGGCGTTTATCCTTTCTTCCTCTTCCTCCTCGGAATAGAAGATCTTTTCATTTAAATAAACCAAGAAGGAGCGAAACAAGATTGTCGATTCGATTCCATCTTCTTTATTACACCATTTACACACGTAACGAAGATGAGGAATAGAACGATGCAGAGACGAACATTTCTTCCTTCGTTCTATCCGCACAGACATTGATGCGATCCAAACGCAGTAAAAAATAGAATTGCTCGTTTTATCTCGGTTTCAAGCAAATTTTCGCGAGTTAAATTTGGTCGAGGCAACGTTTGAATACAAAATTTATTCGGATGGTATTTCGCGATAGATAACCGCGTTACAATGGCGTATCTTCTCTTTCCTTTCGCCTATTATTCCATCCGTATAACGTCAATAAATGGATATATAAGAACATCGAATTCGATGGTTTCGTTTCGTAAACACGATCTTCGTTGACAAGGAAACTATCAATGATAATCATTGACCTGATAATTTCAATTCGCTTTGTGTTATTCAGGTGGAAGAATATCATTGGAATTATTCGAAGAAATGTTAAATTGAAAATTATAAAGAAGCTATATTCTATATTCTTTTTTCTAGTTTTTTATTAGATGGATTTTTATGGATTTATATTCAGATAGTGGAAGGAGGATTAATCAAGATAATAAATTATCGAAGATGAAATTTTTAACGTGGCTATAAATGTTTGTAGGTATATATTGAAAGTAATATTAATATTGATAATGGATTAAAATTATTGGAATGGAAAATGAAATAAAATTACTGTTTTTAATTTCTCTTCCTTCGTGAATTTGTTAAAATTGTAATAGAGCATTTATCTACCATTCAAACTTCCAAATTATGAAAATGTTTCTGATTAAAGCATTCTATGATATTTTATTCCATTTTTTTATTAAAAAGAATATTTTTACATCACGATTATTATATAGCTTATAGAAATAGTCTAGAAAAATTAATTAATCCAAAAGAGAATAAGAGAGAATAATATCCATCTTGCATTTCTGTTAATATAACTTTCGACATTTGCGCTATTGTTTTTAACTGTATAGCGTATAAATAGAGAAATGTTTATTTTCCAATTTTATTTCTGCAAAATACCAGAGTCCAATCTTTAAACAATAACAAACTCGTTTCGAATACCCCTTCGATACAAATATATATATATATATTAACAGAAGAAGAAAATTTCTTCAAATTACTCTATTCCATTTCAATTCTTTCAACGAATATTATTATTACGATTCAAATATTCTATCTCCGATTTAAATTAAATCATTATATAGCAAAATATTGCACAAATTCCAAAATTACAGGAAAATTAAACTATACTTGCTCAACTATGTCAATTTCAATTCTGCCCGACGTAAAGTGGCCAAATTACAAGAGAAAGAAACGAGAAATTTCTTTTTACCCACGGAAGGGTTGATAAAATAGCAAAGGGTTAATAAAATCAACGAGCAAGAAAGATCAAAAGTGTCCTCTGAAACCTGTCTCGAGACCCACGACTTCCGCACGCCATTTTTTCTCATCTCCCGCCAACCATCATCCACCCTCCATCCATGATGATTTCCACCCTCTCGTCGCGAAGCAACAAGTTGAATTTCAATGCCGTTGCCGCTCTCGACGTGCCGCGCATACTTTTTCCTTCTCTGTCTCCGTTCCTCTCTCTCTCTCTCTCTCTTACGCGAACGAATTATATTAATACGTTACGGAAATTCGTTGGGTTAAAAGAAGCACACAGCCCTAAAAATAGAAGATGTTTGAGAAAATGTTCCTCCTCCGAGAGATTCCTGAACCCAGACTCATACACATGTTGCATCACATGTTTTATCTTTTCGTTCCTTCTTTTTTTCTTCTTCTTCTTTTAAAATAAAGATTGGTTATTTTCACGGCCACCTTGTGTACTCTATGCCGCAATATGGTCGATTCTTCGTCTCTCTTTCGCTGGTAAGAATCTAGGCTAGTAGTTCGTCCGTTTCACAAGATTTGTTCGTACGAGTAGTTTTTCTCTCTCTTTCTTCCATATTTGGAAGAGGAGAGACGGGAAAATTTTACGAGTCATGGTCGTTTTGACAATGAGATAAAAAAGAGGATTCTTTCGTGGAATCTTGTCTATGAGAAACGTTGACACCGTTTAAGAAATAAATTTTCTTCGAATAATTTTATTTTATTTTATTTTAAATTTTATTTAAAATAATTTATTTTAATAAAATAATTTATTTTAATTTTATTTTAAATTTAATTAATAGTTACTTTGTAATAATTAATTTAATGATAAAGATTTCGTTGTTTATTTATTTCATAATGCGAGAATTGAATGGATTAAAAGTGAACTCCTTTTAATCTATCAAAACACATTCCTTTGTTTTACTTTTCATCCCTTTTTCGTATTTTTTAATCGAATCCTCTGTCGGAAATATATCGTGAATTTGGAGATAAAGAGAGGAATTTAAAAAAAAAGATGGAAAATTTTCGTCAAATTTAGAGATATTCGAATATATTGTAATTTAAATTAAAGCAACAATTTAAACTAAAAAAAAAAGTGAATACATTTCGACAAATCTTATATTTTATAAAGAAGAAATTACGAATTAAAAATTGAAGATAGAAAAAAAAAATTAGCATTTTTTTCTATCGTTTCTTTTTTTTTTTTTTTTAATTAATATATATATATATATACTCATTTTTGACTTCCATTTGTAGCGAGCGCAAGATTTTTCGTTCAATTCGAACGATAATTTCGCAGACGTAGCGGGAAAGAGGCCGCTGACACACAGATAATTTCGACTTATTCGCCGATAAGAATAAATCAGCGGAGATAGGGGATCGCGTTAAATAAATTACGATAGGTTAAGTAATTACTCACATCCTCTGTAGATCAAACGCACCGAATCCAACTGGAACCACCTTTATTATCCCCTTCACCTCGCCCAATCCGATATCTGTCTCTCTCTCGGCGAGAATTTGATCCGATACCCGCCTTTGCCTGCTGTAAAACACGAAATAAATAATGAAAGTTAATTATCACAAATAATTGCTATTCGATCGTGAAGAAATTCGCAAAGAGAAATTGCGAATGAAAAAATGTATACGTAATTTATTTATAATCGATCAATTATATTATCGTTATATATTAGCCTAAAATTTGATCAAGTTAAAATCTTTAATTTAGGCGAGAGGAAGAGCGTGAAAGAAACGGATGTGATGGAAGAGTGGTTAAAGATTAAATTTGGACGATTTTTTTTGTTGTTGTTGATTTGAATTTGATTTGAATGAATTAAAAAAAAAAAAAAAGAAAAAGAAAGAATAATGGAAAAAGAAGGAATGTCGATAATGGTTAGTATAATTGGATAATTGGAAGAGTGATTATATTAATTTGGAGGATTTCGATAATCATTTTCAGTTATAAAATTTGATAAATTGAATCTGAGAAATCAAAAATCGAAAAAATGATAAGAAGAAGGATAAAATGAAGGAATGATTAGAAACGTGATTTTTTTACCATTCTTGATAGGTTTAAAATAGATGAGTTAAAAATAGAATCATTATTTCATCTTTATCGATGTATATTATGTATATTTTTAACCATGAATTCGATAAATGTATAATAATCGATAATATTATGAAAAAATTCTATAATGTTTTTCAAATTTATTATATAATTTATTATATAATTATTATTATATAATTTGAATAGATTTGAATAGATAAAAAAATCGATTGCAATTCTAATTAAGGAAAAAAAAAGTTTCTGTAATTAAATTAGATCTATTAGATCTACTAAATATATACTTTAATATATAATATATAAATAATATTCACGTAAATATAAATAATGACTCATTGCATTAAATTCTCGAAACATATATAAAACAAAATGGATTGTACGATTAAATCTCTGTTACATTTTAGAATAGTTTATTATGAATTATATTGAAAATTAAAATTAACATTTGTGCAAAATTTGATCATAGAAAAAGAATCGAAATTTGTGTAAAGGATATGCAAAAAGATTCTGTCTAAATTCCATCTCTTTAATCATAAAAATTTGATATTACAATTTTATGAGAAATTATACGACAATGAAATACATAACGATGATTTGATATTTTACAAAATAAAGAGAATAAAAAATGCTGATGATTTCTATAATGAGAATAATGAGAATCAATTATAAAAAAAAAAAAAAAGGCAATAAAATCAACAACATATTAATCAATAAATCAACAACATTTTCTTTCTTTCTCTTTCATTTCTGAACATTACCAATCAACATTAATAATTTCATAAAATTTGTATACTCTTGCACAATAAAGGCAACAAACTCAATGATAAAACAAGCAAATATATATAACTCATAAATAAATTTTACACATCTCATTCGATTATATCATCATATCATTTTACGGAAACTGGTGCAATCGTGAAACACAAGTTGCAATTTGCAACATTATCAGTCGACTAATATTATCGCGCGATAAATCGGTTGCGCAAAGAAGGTATCATAGATATAATAGATTTACAAGATAGATCAGATTTATAAATACCTATATGACGGGAGGAAAAAGCAAACAAATAAATCGAAAATATGAAACATTTTCCAATTCTACTTGAAATCCAAACAAACGATAATAAATTTCCACTTGAAATCCAAATAAACGATAAATAATAAATTTCACGTTCTCAAAAAATTAACCAACTTGAAACACTTGAAACGTATTTCTTTTTCATCATTTACCGTTAATGAGATCGTGACTTGCGAATAATAGGAAGTTACGTCAGTACTTATAAACTTACGTCAGTACAATATAAACTTTCCCGCGTATAACAGATGCGAGGAGATTGGTGGAATCGAGCTCGAGTCGTGGAAAGTAAACCGATTAATTAACTCATCGTTGGCAAAACGCCCATCGTGTCTCGGTCCCATTTTAAATTTCCAACCTGTTGCGAATTCGGTCTCTTCCTTGAAGATTGCACGTTTATCCTCGTTCGTGTATTCTCGTTTTTTCCTCACCTTTCCCGAATCATTAATATTTAAACTTCGCTTATTCCCCTCCCGTCGCGTTTTACGTGACACGATTTTTATTAAGCTTCGCCGAGTTTCGAGCACGAGCGCGAAAAAATTAAATCAAGATCAAACGAAAATATCCGTATAATCGACGAATATCTCGATATTGTGAAAAATTTGCGTGGAAGTGACGGATCACTTAAGTAAGAAAAACTTGAATAAAGAACGAATAAGAGAGATAGTCAGAATAATTAAACGAAAGGAAAAGATATCGAGAAATAGGAATATCTCTCGTACATTTTCAATTTTAAAAAAATTATTTTTTTAAAAAAAAAAAAATTAAAAAAAAAATTTGGAAAAAAATCTAATCGAAAAAATCGATCGATACGAGTACATCGGGATAAGAGAGGTAACTATGTTAAAAAAAAAAAAGAAAAAAATCCCTTTGATCCCTCCTTTCTACCCTATCCTTAATCCTCATCCCTTCCCGATTATATGCTTAAGCTTATACGCAACGCGATAATTCATATATATCGGCCAATAAAGAAAGGGAAAAGAAGAAGAAGAAGAAAAAGAAAAACCACGTGATATTGGAAGCTATGTATAAAGATATAATAAGCCGCGTTTATCCTCAATTTTGTCTCCTTAATCGGTATGCTAATCTCTCCTGACGCGGTGAATTCCACAAAGGTGAATCTCTCGAGGGGTGGAAAAGAGAGATGGAATTCGAATAGAAATTCTTGGATGAATTCTGCGGATAGCATCCGATTTTTTATATACTTGTAACGCGATCTCGAAGACAGATAGGAAAAAAAGTCGTCGAAAATAATAATCGATAAAGATAACCGGCTCGATAAGGATCGCGTCTCGAGTTTGACGTCGAAACGGGATTTTCCCTGCCGAGAAAGAAGAGGATTTTGTTTCATTCAATGGGAAAATCTGTGCATTAGACTTGGAAGATTAAAATCTTGACATTGTAATCTTGGAACGATCTTTTAAACTTTTGATTTTTGATTCGTAAGTTTAGCATGGAAATTTTACTTGGCACGTATATATTCGAAAGAAATATCGAAGAGGGTGGAAAGAAGGGAAGAAAAACAGGAAATCACGGGACGAATAAAAAGATGAAAAATCTAACAAACTGCACTCACCTAAGCAAGGAGGGTGGTCTGGCGTAAATCGTATTCGGCATCAGAATCACGTTTAGAGCGCACAACACGAGCAACGTGGTGAACAAACCCATTCTCTTCTCCTCGACGAAAATACCAAATAATTTCTTAGCCCTCAAAAAAAAAAAAAAAATGCAATCCTCTTTGTCCCGATACGCGCACTATCTTCCTCTATATCCACTTGTTCACAAACTCGTTCACAGAAGAATAGGACACGATCTTGTCTCTGACCACTCAGCTCTCTCTCTCTTTCTCTCTCTCTTTGCTTATCGATACGATCTAGTCCTATGTCGCTTTTGTCTCTGTGAACTGTAACGTAGCTCTTCTTCGCCCGCATATATACGCGAATATCTTCGCCCCTCCACCGTATACCCCCTCTCGATCCCTCCCAATCCTCCCTCGCGTTTCTTTCCCAGAATCGCGACCCTTTTCCCTCGATCCACCTTTTTCCCCCCTTCCTCTTCTTCTTCTTTTTTCTTTCCACGCTTCCGTCCACGTTGGTTGGAAACGAAACGAGGAATGGAAAGAAGGGAATTAGAAGGGGAAAAGCAAAAAAAAAAAAAAAAAAAAAAAAGAAAAATGGAGGGGACTTTGAAATCAACCTTTTTTTTTTTTTTTTTTTTTTTGAAACGAAAGATTCGCGGGATCACGGGAGGCGGGAGGCTTCGATCACGGTGCAACCACGTGAACGTGGCCCAAGTCCGCTCTGAATTTTTTCGAGGATTGCCGCGATTTTTTCGATACTTTAGAAACGCGTGATTTATCGGGTCTAGAGGTCTTGAAATTTTTCCATCTAGTTCGTAGCATTTCTACGAAGTATTTTCGTTTATGTATATGGAAATCGAAGATGTTTATTTGGATGGGCATACGTATATGGACGGGTTTGGATCTATTAACGGTGGAATTTCTTTCTTTTTTTTTTTTTTTTTAATTAGAAGAAAAGTTAAAAACGCTTCTTTTTATTCTTGCGTTCTTCCTCGAGAACAAGAAAGGGGAGGGTAGGATGTTGTATATTTGGATGTACGTGAGATTTGGAGACGAATCTTTGATGAGTTTGGATGGAATGGAAATAGATGTGATACAAGGTGTGTAAAAGTAATCTCAGAAGATCAAATTGAGAAAATAAGTAGAATAAGTAAAATTAAATGTACGTGTAATAGCTAGTAAAAAAGTATCTTCTCTTCTATTTATTTATTTATTTATTTATTATAACCAAAGAAATGGATAGCATTCCATAAAATAATTATATTTCCCAAAAGATATATACTTTAATATAATCTTTAAATTACAACCCGTCAATTGGAAGAATTTTTGAATAATACCATCTCTAATTAATTGTGCAATAGGATCTTTATTCCTGGTCTAAGGAAATAGAAGATTTGATTTGAGATTTCGCTCGATGGATGAATCATCGAATAGATTTAGTTTTAAATCTGTTTGTTGGTTCAGAGAAAAGCCTAAAATCGGCGATACTCGGAATATAGAAAGTTTGGTCGGTGACGCGCGTTCGAGTTTGAGCCGTGCATTCGAGAAAAGCGAACTTTTACGTCCTCCTCGGCCATTTAACAAATTACGTTAAAAATTATTATTAAATTTATATTAAATTAATTTATTATTATTATTTTTATTATTATTATAATTAAATAATATCTTAAAAATTGTTCGACACGAGTGCGATTTAGACGAAGAAATTTTACTAATCATTAAAAATTATATATATTTCAAAAGAGACGATTGATCGAAACGAAATTTTTAATCGAATATAATTGTACAATCATCTGTACGTTTAATAACAATTTGGATTTGTTGTCTCGTTTATTCTATAATTTTTCGATCGATATATCGAATTCGATGGACGAAGAAAAAAAAAAATGAAAGAAATTCAGCGATCTTGATAGTTGATATAGAACGATAAAGTTATTCATTTATCTTACGGCTTCAACGCACTTCAACGTGTTTTCGATCGTGTTTAATAATCGTGAAACAGCGTTACAGATCTGATTGCAACCGGAGTTTTCCGTTCCAAAGGTAAATTCTCAATTATCTGATGAAATTCTTGTAGAAAAAGAAAAAAAAGAGAAGAAGAAGAAGAAGAAGAAGAAAAAGACAATTGATTACGCCGCAATTTCTGTATATTTCCCTTTGTATATTTTCCACATGATAAATGAAATTTACACAATTGAAGAATCTGTTGAATGATTTATAAATTAGTTCGAAATCCATCATTCACTCATAATATGTCGGAGTTGGAATGCGGAGTTACGAATAGGTGAAACGTTGTCTCCGAACTCATTCTCCTCGATTCTAAATAACACGATTGTGATGCAATCCCATAGGTTAAGTTCTAACATTTATAATCTTTTTTTTTTTTGCCGTTGCAGCAAATATTTCCGATTCTGGATTATGTCGACTGTGAACTTTGTAATCTATATTATATGTGTATTGAAACATTGTTATTTTTATGTGTGTCTGAACAGTGATAAGTAGTTCAATGAAATGTCCAATGATCCAAATTTTCGACACAGCTCCGCAGGTGTTGAAAAATTATTTATCTCTGTATGAGATAACGATGAGAATAATTTTATTTCATATATATATATATATGTATACTATATATCGATTAAAATTAAAATTTGAATTGAGAAAATTAAGAAAATTTGAAGAATTGGAACGAAAAAAAAATTTATAAATTAGAGGAAAAATTACGATTCCTTTTTCTTCTCTTTTTAAATATCACAAACTTCTTCGATTCTATTCCAATCTTTCCACTTTAATACGCTAGATTACTTCCCCTCCATATTCCAGATTTAAACCAATTACACGGGGATTCCTCGATAATTTTTCCTTATTCTTTCTTATTTTATAAATCACGTTTCTTGCGTTCTAGCAGAGCTGTTCATTCCTTGCAATCAATTGATTCGGAATAGCATCGATTAATATATACAATGGTGCAAGAATAACTCGTGTGAATCAGAGAAGTCTTTATCCGATGATTAATTCATTGATCGATGCACCATCATTCGGGTTCAACTTTTTCGGGTTCACTTCCAAAAACAGATTTGTTTATAATCTCCTTAAATTCTTTTCATTTATCTTATTATCCTTTTATTTTCATCCTTTTGCTTGTTTATTTTTCCGCCTTTTTATTTTCTTCTCTCTTTTATTCTTTTTTAAATATTTTAAATGGACAGACATTTTTTCATTTGAAGATTCATACAAGAGATGCATACAGATTCATATTTTTCTTGAATTTTTGTGCGTTCTTCCTAATTTTCTTTTTCTCTTTTTTTATTCCTATCTTTATTTCTTCCAAACGATGAATGAAAATGATTTTGATATATTATTTAAAAAAAAAAAAAAATATTGTTTTCCTTTATGCGACTCGAGCGAAGATGAAGCGAATTTTAAATAATCTGACATATGCGTTCCATTTCTACTTTTTCTTTCTCTTTTCGTCGAAGCGGTAGTAAATAAAGAAACAACTCGAAGAAATTCATATGAGTGATATCCGTAGACGCGATAAACAGGACGACTTATTGAAAAATTTCTGGAAATACCGTCTGAATTTAAAACATCCGAAGAAAAAGTACGCTTTGTATTGTAGTGTTTGCGCGCTGATCACGTGACTAAAAATTGACCAATAGAACAGAACGAAATACGAATATAGGGATAAATAACAGGAAACATACATAATCGATAAACATAGTAAAAATCTTAAAATGTGAATTTGATCGACAAATTTTTTAAAAGACGAGGTAAATCGGCTTGAGAATTATCATTTTGATCGATATAAAATTAATTTTCACCAAAGTTACGAGATATTATTAGTTATGCAGAATCAAATTAAAGGAAAAAACATAATTTAATTTTCTTCCTTTTTATTTAGATCGGTCAATGGTAACGTACGATTAAAATCAATTCGAAAAAACAAAAATGCTAAATCAAAATTTTAGAAATAAATTCTTTTGTTTTTTTTTTTTTTAACGATAAAAAGAACGTCTTCGTATAGGAGACTTTCGTATATATACGAAAGATTTTGCGTAATTTTACATCATTCGTGAAAATCGAATTCAGTTCGTCATTGTCATTGCGTAGATAAAGTGATTCATTCATACGCTGTTTAAATCTTGGTTTTTTTTCTCGATAACGCATAGAACACGTTGGTTCGAGTACATCATCTGTTACAGAAAAAAAATATAATCACATCTGACGTAATCCAATAAAATATTGAACAGGTTTCTTCGATTAGATTCGATTTTCAATTCCAATTGGTGGAATTCCGTGGAATATTTTTAATAATTTTACGGCGGCAAAATTCCCGTGGACTTTATAGGAAATAAAGATTTAATCACGATGATTAAAATTAGAAACGAATCATATATTTCATGAATCACTTTAGATTAGATATATATTAAGTAATTGAATTAAAATTATAAAAGAATAATATATGTATCACCTTTCGAACACCTTTCGATCAAATTATTTAATAACCAAAAATTGCAATAAAAATGAATAATTTCACGGATATAAATTTTACGGATGTAAATTTATATTCCTCATTTATTATATTATTATATCAAAATCATTTTGAATGAAACATCTTCCCCTCGTCGATTTTAATGATAATTGAAAACGAAGGACATCATTTTTATCAACTTTTCTCTTCACCAATCTCGTAATCTCGGCTTCTTCAATTTTCGAGATATTTGCAAAAAGTGACCGCTATTGTGATAACGTTTGTGTGCATAAATTATCACTTATCATCTACGCGATGCTCTAATTGCATTTCATAACTCGGAATATATAACGTGTATCATGTTACGCGTTCAATTTTTAAGATAAATGCATTATATCGTTTATTTTCACTGGATTTATTTTCCATATGTTGTATAGAACGATAATAAAAAAAATATGTTACACGTTATTTTCGTTGTCAAAACATTGTATCATATTATAAATTAATAAGATAAATTTTAGATTTGGACGGCGTAGGAATCGTGTGTTTTGGATGAAATATTTTTATTAGATTGTTGAATTAAAATTATAGAAAAAGGATTTTATAGATGGATAAGCGACACGTAAACGTTTGCCAAATTTTAAGGTGAAAAGAATTCGAAGCAATTATCACGGGATTTACATTCGATAAATAATATATTTCCTTTGTTCTTCTTAATGGACACGAGATATAACGATACATTTTTTTGGCAAAATAAATTTAAGTTTTCATCCTTGGATCTTTCGCTTGGATCTTTCGACGGAAGTTTAAAT